AGGGATTATTTTCTAAAAGTTGTGATAGGGGAGAGACAGAATATCATTGCTAATTGAGGACTCCGACTACGTTATGGAGGAAGACAACGATCGACCTAGAAAGCTTCCTAAGCTTGATCACGACGAGTCTCAGGATTCTGAACCCAGAATGACCGGTGCGCTGCAGGTTGCTGATAATGTCTCTACGGCTGCTACGGCTGGGACAGACAATGGCGGCAACGAGCAACCTACCATGACATCCGAGAATGATACTACTACTACTACTACCACCCACGGCGCCGCCGCCGACAGCACTGCAGCCCCCACCACCGAAGATGGAGCGCCCAAGATCTCCAAGCGCGAAATGAAGCGCCAACGCCGCCGCGAACAATGGGACCAGCAGCGCGATCTGCGACTCGCAAAGCGCAAGAAAACCGCACAGGCGCGCAAAGAGCGCCGCCGCGCAGCGTTCGAGCAGGCGCGGCTGGATGGTACGGAAGCCGAACTGAAGAAGCAATACGAACGGACTCAGGAGCGCTTCCGCAAGTCAACGCTGCTGCCGCTCACACTGGTGATTGACTGCGGATACGACGAGTTGATGTTGGAGAAGGAGCGGATTTCACTGGGGTCGCAGATCACGCGGTCGTACTCGGATAACAGTCGGTCGGTGTATCGATCGCATTTGGTGTTTTCGTCGTTCAATAAGAAGTTGAAGGAGCGGTTTGATACGAAGTTGAATAAGCATTACTTGAACTGGAAGGGGGTTAGGATCCTGCCGGATGATTTTGCCGAGGTGGCGGAGAAGGCGAAGGAGTGGATGGTTGTTCCTGACGGGGGTAAGATGGAGGGAGTCTTTGCTGATAAGACGGATATGAAGCCTGAGGAGGGGGAGGTGGTTTATTTGAGCAGTGATAGTCCCCATACGTTGACGGAGTTGAAGCCGTTCAGTACGTATATTGTTGGGGGGTTGGTGGATAAGAATCGGCACAAGGGGATTTGTTATAAGCAGGCTGTGGAGAAGGGGATTAAGACGGCTAAGCTGCCTATTGGGGATTATATCCAGATGGCTTCCAGACAGGTGCTGGCTACGAATCATGTCGTGGAGATCATGCTCAAGTGGTTGGAGCTGGGGGATTGGGGGAAGGCGTTCTTGGCTGTTATCCCGCAGCGGAAGGGTGGGAAGTTAAAGGAGTCGGGGGCTGAGGCAGAGGGGTCTCAGCACGAGGAGGATAATGCAGAGGAGGAGGAGGAAGAGGAGGCGTTGGAGCAGGCTCAGAGGGTTACTGATGAGGCGGTTGAGCAGGCTGCAGAGGAGCCTGATCAGGCTATGGCAGAAGTGCCTACGGAGGGCAAGTGAGGGGTGCAGTGCTAAGTAATGTGTATATATGCAGCGGTATAAGCTGCCATGAGCTGTCTACTAGACTAGTGGCTGGCCAATCTACATTTCTTCCAATCACTCGCAAAGCAGTGAGCTTCATACTCTGCAGTAGTTATTGACTAGTTAGTAGACAAGTGGGATGATGATGTAGAGAGATGACATAATCGCACCGCCACACGTGCTGCGCCACATGGTTGCCACCGAGCGATGGATGACGGCAACCAAAACAACAACAACTTCGCCGTTCCATCTTTTTTTTTTTTGTTTCTTCCTTCCAGAAGCTCCACAGAGACTCGCCTGCTCTTTGCTCTGTTTGCTGTCTGGGCCCTGGCCTTCTTCACTCTGCCCCCGGACCAAGGCTCATCCTTTCCTGTTTACTTTCCGTCCCCTCTGTTGTCTGGTGACCTGCCTCAATCCCTGTCCCTAGCAACCCACCTTATCTCAAAGTTCAGTAAACAAGGTTGCTGTTGCTGAGCAGCAAAGCAGCTCCAGCCATGTTTGTGCTCCGCAACGGTAAGTCCCTTCCATTCCCGGATGTCTTTTCCTCGAGGGCAGCTCTGCCTTCACTTTGGCTTTGCTACCCCGCCATCTGCCCCTCCTCCCCTCATCCTCCTCCCCTGCTTCCTCCCATCCTACCTTCATCACTTATTGGTCCCCTCTCATACTGACGTATCCTCTCGGGACTTGTGCAGTGAGCAAGTACCTCTTCGGAGACTCTTCCAAGGAATCTATTATCGAGATCCCTCAGGGACAACTCTACCTCGTTCGCCCTCTGTCGCCCAAGGGCTACTCAGAGCTCATCTTCAAGGACGCCGCCGCCTCCATCAGACGCACCGGTCAGGAATTTCAGTACCAGCTCGTTATCCAGCGCGCCTACGAGGAAGGCGAGGAGGAGCTCGGGGAAGAGGACGACGAACAAGGCGGCAGTGACAGCCTCGACAAGGACGAAAAGGTCTTCCTGCTCGATCAGGCGTTGCACTTCCGCTCGGAGGTGCGCGACGGAGGAGCAAAGATCTTGGCCTGGAGAGACCTGAGTGGCGACGTTGGCGACCTCTTCGAGTTTGTCTGCGACCCCTCCGTACCTTCGGATAAGGTTTCCACCTTCGAGCTAGCCGCTCTGCAGTGCCAGTACGAGCGCGCATACCGCCGGAGCTCCCAGAACGTGAGCCGCGAAGATCTGCAAGAGTTCTCTTTCCAGGAGGAGAGGCCTATACCGTCTGCAAGCCCTATCTCTTCTTCAGCACGGTCTCCTGCTCGGTCGCTGACATCTGGAGAGTCGACCGCCGCCATGGTGAAGGACGTCGAATACTCGCGGTCCAAGGGACAAATCAAGCCCGCAGCCTCGGAGGAAGCCACAGTTGCTCCCCCTTCTGCAGCACAGCCTGAAGCTAGAGAGGTCCTCGCCCAGGAGAAGGCCGAGCTGCACCTGTTCGATTTTGTGAGCGGAACGTTCGTTTTGCAGGCGGCCAGCGTGACTGCCACGGTTTCTGAGGTTGGTGACTGGACGTACTGGCTCCAGATCAGCGGAGAAGACAAGGAGTGGCTTGGGCAGGCTGTCGTTGCGGACATCAACCCCGTTTTCAACTTCGAATATCTGTCTTTCATCTTCAATGCCTACGGTGAAGATGGTTCGGCTTACTCCTGGCTCTTGCGCTTCAAGGACCAGGAGACTGAGGAGAGGTTTCAGGAGGGTCTCATGCAGGCTCTATGGGAACAGCTGAATGAGATGAAGTGGACGAAGGTCAAGGAACAAGAACGGGAGTACGTGCTGGATGCTTTCCAGGATCTCACAATGGAGGATGCCGAGGAACGCGAAGCCGAGGCTGAAGAGGAGGAAGAAGAGGAGAGTGAGGAGGAAGACCATTACGACGGTCAACGCAGCGAACACTACGACTCTGACGAGGAGCAAGATGATGTCGTTACGCGGGATGACGATGGAAACGTCAACTCTCAACTTGCTGTCGGTTACAAGCATGACCGCTCCTTTGTCGTTCGTGGCTCCAAGATTGGCGTCTTCAAACACACTCCCGACAACAACCTGGAGTTCTCTACCAACATCTCCAAGGTTGAGACCCCCAGGGGCAAGCTCTTCAGCCCCAAGAAGGTCATGTTGCACGCCGAAGACACCAACATGATCCTCCAGAATGGTGACGATCCGAACTCGCTTTACCGGATGGACCTGGAGTATGGTAAGATTGTGGATGAGTGGAAGGTCCACGATGACATTCCGGTCACTACCTTTGCTCCTGAGACTGTGAGTAACCTCTTTTTCTGGTTTTATGTGAAATATCTGCTGACTTGCCTAGAAATTCTCCCAAATGACCGCTGCACAGACCTTCGTTGGTGCTTCTAAGAATGCCCTCTACCGCATCGACCCTCGTGTCGACGGAAACAAGTTGGTGGACACCGACCTGAAGCAGTATGCCAGCAAGAACGACTTCTCTTCGGTGGCTACCACTGAGAAGGGATACCTTGCTGTGGCTTCCAACAAGGGTGATATCCGCATGTTTGACCGTCTTGGAATCAACGCCAAGACCCATATTCCCGCTCTGGGAGAGCCGATCATCGGTCTGGACGTGTCCGCGGACGGTCGCTGGGTGCTCGCAACCTGCCGGACATACCTCCTCCTCATCGACTCGCTGCAGAAGGAGGGCAAGAACGAGGGCAAGCTTGGCTTCGAGCGCTCCTTCGCCAAGGACTCTAAGCCGCAGCCTCGTCGTCTGGGTCTGCAGCCTGCCCATGTGGCCCAGTTCCAGCACGAGACGAAGAAGCCTATCAGCTTCACCCAGGCGCGTTTCAACACCGGTGTGGACAGCCAGGAGACATCGATTGTCACTGCCACTGGTCCTTTCATCATTACCTGGAGCTTGAAGAAGGTCGTTGCCGGACGCAAGGACCCCTATACCATCAAGCGTTACGGCGAGGACGTCATGGCGGACAACTTCCGATTCGGCTCGGACAAGAACGTCATTGTGGCCCTGCCCAACGAAGTCAACATGGTCGCCAAGAGGAGTTTGATGAAGCCCACTCGCGAGAGTATCGCCGGTCCTCCCGTCACTCCCCGTCGCCGAACCCAATGGGGCAGCCGGTTAGGCAGGGACGAGATTGTCAACTCGCCTTACTGATGAGTGGCTTTTCATGTTCTTTTGCGCCGCTGCATACCCTCTTGATGTTTCGGTTTTTCATACTTTTCTATTTTCTTCTTCCACTCTGATATTTTGTGAAACGGTTTAATGTCTTTTCACGGTGATATGAACGGATGGCGAACGGTTGCACTGCGGAATTAAGCATTGATATTTGTACCCTTATTAGTAGCTGATAATCCGACTACGAATTATGACTGACGTTGCATGATGGTTAATGGATGACATTCTGGGCCGACGGCCACGTAGTATATAGTTGCGCTTCTCGTCGACAGGTATCCCGTACCTGTTGCGGCGCTGCCTTAATCCCCTAGTAGCTAGCTTGACGTAGGCAAATCAAGCCAGCAATTGCCCATCCAGCCCCAAAACACTACCACCAACCAACCCACCAACCCATGATTATGGACCAATCTGCCAGCAGATGATAGTCACGCATCCCACTCACTCAATCCATTACAGCCAAATCGACATTGGCAAGATAGCAAGCAGAATTTCCCCACTCAAGACCCAACATACCACACCTCCACATCAATAATATCAAACTTGACGCCCTCATCCGAGAGCGGCTCATTCCCGAAAGTCTGGCACGACGCACTGACACCCTTTTCGAGACTCGAGTCAACCCATAAACCGTAATGTCCGTCACTACACCCATTAGCATCATCATCACAATCATCATAAGACACAGCACAAGAGAAAGAAAAGGAAATTAACATACCCCCCACCCAAACTCAAAAACCCCGTCTCACAAAACATCATATAATCATTAACCCCGGAATACGGAAACGCCTTGAAGCGAATCTGCTCGGGCGTGACAGTCCCACTCGTCCTTCCACTACTTGCACCACCACCATTTCCAACGCCAGAGGTAGAAGTAGGAGAAAGCCACTTCTCCCCCTCCGCCCGACGCAGCGTCGTCGACCGCCCCGCATTCGTTGTGTCCGCGCTCGGAGGCAACGGTAATCCGGCTTTCTCGAGCACTTCGGCCTCTACACCTGCTCCAGCTCCTCCTTCCTCACCGGCGGTATCCCCATTGGTGAAGTTGCTCAGCATAGCTGTAGCAGGCGGTAACACGCTCGCCCTCCAGAGGAAACACTCCCCGGTGCCGTAGTAATGCGAGTCCGGGTGCGGGGGGTCAGTCATGTAGGCGCCGAAGACGGCGTTCGAGGAGGGGGACGCATCCCTGATGACGAGGACGTAGCCGGCGCGCGGGCTGCGGGTTGAGGCGATGTCGCGGCAGTTGTCGTAGAGCGTGGAGAGGGAGGCGCCGTCGCGGTCCAGACTGTAGGCTAGGTGCCAGGTGTTGCAGAGTTGGAGGCGCGGGGGCACTAGGAGGCGGATTTCTTCGGCGAGGGAGCGGGTGAGCAGCGGAGAGGGGTCGGAGAGCGTAAGGGGGGTTAGAGGGGGAGGTTGGAAGGGGGAGGCGGTGCGGATGGGGGTGAAGACGGGGTTGGAGGGGTCATTGTTGGTGGTGGTGGTGGTGGTGGTGGTTTTGCGGCGCATGTTGTTGTTGTTGTTGGTTGGGGGGTCGGTGAGGCGACGGTAGAGACCGGAGACGACGTGGGTTACTGGGTAGGAGAAGTAGGAGGCGGCGGATTGTTGGAGGGAGGAGGGGGTGGTTGCGTTGGTGCTGCTGGTTGTGGGGGGTGGTCGAGATCCAGATCTCGAGCTGGAGGAGGACGACATGCGTGCTGCTGTGCGGGCGATGACGTGGGGTTTTGGTTTGGGGGATGGATTAGTTAGGATTGGAGGGAAGGGGGAGATTAACAATGGGGATAGGGGGAGATCATGCAATTGAGATGGATGAGAGGGGGTGGGAGAGATGGGATAGGGGAGGAGTAGGATGATGTGGTGGAGAGTTAAGAGGAAGATAAGAGATGCAGACGGAGGAGGGAGGTTAATTAATTAATTAATTAATTTAATGTTCGTCACGCTTTGCGGATCGGCGGGTGAGCTTCTATACGGAGGTTTCCTCCTGCCTACTTTTGGTAATTAGTCGTGCTTGTGCACGGCACGGCACATGCCATTTGTCAATATTGGTGCAGTTAAGAATACGATTGGTGAATCAACAATTTACAACTATCTGCTAGTTACTGATTTACTGTATTCCTACTTCTGCCACACCTGCTCGACAAATGCTGTCAGGTCGGCCTTCAGCTCGCGTGGACGCTCCAATGCGGCAAAGTGTCCTCCCTGTCGATCGATCAATGTCAGATTTTCAGCGCACGAATTTATACTGGGGTTAACCTACCTCTGCATGATCCCGGAAGAATACTAGATTTCCCGTTGTAGCAATCCAGCTCCGAGGTACAGGACAAAGGTCCTTGGGGAAGAAGGAGAACCCAAACGGCTTGTGAATATATAATTCCTTCTGCAGCATCGTCGCTCCATTGGGAGCGGAGGCAGTTGGGGTAGTCTACACCATCAGCACGCCAAATACTAATAAATACTACTACTAGGGCACATTCTTTACACATACCTCGCGGTAGGTATGAATTGCCCGCGGAAAACTTTCCGTCAGCCAATACAGGCTCACCATCTCGAGGATGGTCTCAGAAGGGAGGGGTTTATCCACCCATTGGAGATATTTCTCACCAATCCTGGATGCAGTCAGCCAGAAACTTTAAGAAATATTTGTCCGAAAAAAGCAAACCCACCATGCAAGTAATGCGATCGGACTGCTGGACAGCACATGGCCAATCGTACTGGGCCGAGTACTGTGTTCCATGGCATAAGCTATGCCATTGGTCATGAATTTCTCCATTCGCGCAACTCCCTCCTTCTCCGCTGCAGACAGGCTCTCGATTGACGGGCCTTCAGGGGGAGCCCTCATTGCGCACAGGTTCACTATACTGTTGGTGTCTTGTAAACATATATGAGGGTAGTGCACTTACAATGAACCGCTGGTGGGAGTTAGCATGGCAGCATATTCGATGGCAAAGCAGCACTAACCTTTGCAGGCGTCGAAACTCACGCCCAATAGTCGTCCAACAAAGCTACCAATATCGCCACCTTGAATAATATAACCACTTCCGAACCCGAGGTCCTTCATCAACTGGTCCACGACCCGAGCAATGTCCATCAAGCCAAAATCCTTGTCCAGCGGGGGACCAGATGAAAAGGTATACCCAGGAAGGGACGGAACAATCAAATGGAAAGGCAGGGTTTCAGGGGTGTACTCCTCACGGAATAGCTGCAGGACTGGGTAGAACTCGACGAAGCTGCCTGTGGACTCATTAAACCGGATTGAACATACCGTAAGCGAAGCAAAGTATATACTTACCGGGCCAACCATGGAGCAATGCGATGGGCACAGCATCTTCTCTTTCGGAAAAGAGTGCAGCAAAGTGAATTGTGAGACCCTCGATCTCCGTGGTAAATTGAGGGAGAGAGTTCATTCGAGCTTCAAATGGTCGCCTACACTGGCCTGTCAGCATTGCACATCGATGGAGCAGACAGGCAACCGAACCAGTCAAACTCCGAGAGCCATTTCTCCCGCATAGTTGTCAACCATTCGGAAGTGATGCCAAATCGGCCATCCGCTTGCAAGCTCTCATAGGTGGGAGGAGCAATCTTGGACAGTCGAATGAGAGTTTTCAGGTCGTTCAACTGTTCATCCGGGATGGAGACAGTGAAGGGATTAGGCGAAATGCTCGCCGACGAGGGAAATTTGGTAAACTGAGCGGACATGATGTATTAAAGCTAACTGAATATACTATGATTAGAAGAAACAACAGAGGTGAAAGAGAAAAGTGGTGAGAAATGAGGGGTTGCCCAGAAAATGTATTAAAGGATAATTAATATTAGATGATGAGCGGGGTCACGGCTGGTCCGAGGCTCACCTTCACTTCTAATCATTGCTCCTCCAGTGAGCATCACGCAGATACGACAGCGCAAAGATTGGAGAGAACTAGCATGCTTATAAGCATTTCTGCAAGCCCTCTTGGCATTGCACCAATCATCTGTCATTATTAGAGTCAGCATATACCACCTCTTACCCCGATGCGGATGCGTGCAGCTATCACTCATTTAAGTAGCTTAGCACTCCCGAATTCTGTTTATTCAAGAATATATAATTGAACACAAAAGGGTTGGAAAATAAAAAGTGGCTACAAGTATTTGACGATCCAAGTAATTTCAACGAAGCCAGCAGATCGACATGCAGGTATACGGCCATCATCATGCGCAGGTAGAGAAGGAATCGCAGTTGATTGGATCACTTTCATGGCTACTACTGCAGCAAGCTCGACTTCAACATAAAGTTAGATTTTGAGTTATGTTATTTTCCCTGGTCTAACTACACTGATTGGAGATTATTATCTAGACAAGTCACTTCCACTTGTGTCCGGAATCCCTTAAAACAAACACTGGCAGTATGTACTGAAGTATCAAGACACCCTTGGATACCTCCGCGTGGTAATGAATATGGTAGCTAAGAAAAATGAAGACACTAATAAACATCCTTTCTGTCATGATAAACCCTTCCAACCCTATCTACATATAATCCCTCGTCCTCTCCTCACAAAACTCCCAAAACTCACACGCCCTCCCCGTCCCACCCTCCGTCTTACTCCTCATCGCATCCAGCAACCCCGGCGCCACAGCATCATGAATCCTCCCCCATGGAACAACATACGCACCATTATTCTCCAGTCCCAAATCCCCCGACAACCCCGCGTACAGCACTGTATGAGCTGCCAGAGCCGGACTATGCAGCAGCGGCCAAGAGAGTATCTTCATCCAGCGCGCATTCCTCAGGAGATTCGTATTAGCTCCGCCCGGATTCTGCGCTACACTGACGATGCCCTTCTCGCCATACCGACGGGCCATTTCCGTAGACAGGAACCAGTTTCCCAGCTTGGAGGTGACGTAGTTCCGCACAGCGTCTTTCGGTGGGTTGGTTAGCTCTGACATGATGATGCCTTCGGGCGGAGCGGAGAGCTCGGAGACTTGACTGCTTGTCCAGATGACGCGGACGGAGCCGGGGGTGGTGAGCCCAGAGTCAGATAATGCTGCGGCTTCGAGGAGGGGGGTTAAGAGCTGGGTGAGAAGGAAAGGACCCAGACAGTTTGTTGCGAGTTGGAGCTCGATGCCTTGTTTGGAGACGCTGCCTAGCGGGGGTTGGGACACGCCGGCATTGTTGAAGAGGAGATCGAGCTTGGATTCTTTGCTGTTAAAAGTAGAGGCGGTAGCCTTGATGGTAGAGAGATCATCTAGATGCAGTTCGAGGAAACGTAACTCGCCCGGGCTGCACTTGGTAGTCGCAGGGACGGACTTCTGGATGGCCTGGATGGCCGCCTGAGCAGCGGACTCTGATCGTCCTGCTATGTAGACTTTGGCGCCTTTGCGGTAGAGGACCTTGGCTACTTCGAAGCCGATTCCTGATGCGCCGCCGGTGATGAGCACCACTTTGCCCAATTGCTGGGGGATGTCATCAGGGGTGAAGGTTGGGCGGGGAGGGAAGAGTTGAGAGAATTGGGCTCCCATTGTGGAGGCTGCTAGTAGTTGGTGCTGTGGTCATGAGGCGAGATGGCGATTCAGTCACATATTTATGTGCGCTGTGTTCTTGGGCGAGACCCCTGCAGGGTATGCTTAGTCCCGTCAATCGTTATACATGTTTAGACGAGCGGACCAACCGGCGCTACTATAGAACTGACCGGCTCGGTTGTTAGCGTTGACACTCAGCTAGCTCTAGCACAGCCTGCTAGGGATTCGCTTTGTTTCCATTCCTGTGGTTAGCATGTTTTATGTAAATCATTACTTGATGCACGAAGAATAGGAAAACGACGATTGACTAGTGGTAGAGTGTCTTTGGGGAGGAGGTTGTCCTCATGTTGTTCCAGTCTTGCGAAATGCATCTAGACCTGGCCAGCACAGAGTAAGGGCTGCCATTGCCTTGCAAGGTTTAGTTACCGCAGAATAGACCCTTATAAGGCCTGAATGCACCCCCATTCATATTAAGGCAATTGATTCCGTAAGAACGCCGCTCCAATATCAGTCGGCAACATACCCGATAATCCATAACGCTACGGCAACTCTCCCGACGCATCGGCATCTAAGTACAGTAGTACCCCAAACTCGTCGTATCTAGATGCACTCATACTCCACATATTCCTATTCAAAGAATATAATATTTTAAGATAATCTTTTCTCTATTCATTCCTACCTCATCACACCCTTCATCTACACATCCCCAAGAAAAACCAAAAACTAACAATGCACCACCTCCCAAACCCCACCATCCAAACCCTCCTCCTAAACCTCACACGCCCCGAAATCCACCACTTCCTCCACATCATCTCCTCCACCCTCATCTCCTTCTCCACGACCCCAGAACGACAACACCAACCCCCACCAAGCACTATAACCCGTCCCAACGGACAATGCACACTCTTCCGCCCCTTCACTTCCCCGGACAGCATCGGCGCCAAGCTCGTCGTCGAGCCAGCTCCCAACTCCTCCACCGGAAAACGCGAGCACCCAATCCAAGGCCTCCTAGTTATACTAGACCCGCTGGGCAATCCCACGGGAATATTATCCGCCGAGGAAATAACCGGCTATCGGACGTCGATGAGCGCCATGATTCCGTTCTCCTGGCGGAAGCATGTATCAAATATAGTGATATTCGGGGCTGGGATGCAGGCGCTGTGGCATACGCGGTTGATATTGGGGTTGAGGGGGGAGGAGGTGAGGTGTATTACATTTGTGGGTTCTTCGAGGGCACGGGTGGAGGCGTTGGTTGGGAGGGTAAGGGGGGAGATGGGGGGGAGGTGGGGATCGGAAGAGTGTAAGTTTATTTTTGTGAGTGCTGATGGGAGTGATGGTGAGGTTGAGAGGTGTTTGAGGGAGGCGGATTGTGTGTTTTGTACAACGCCTTCGCAGAAGATGCTTTTCCCGGCGGCGTGGGTGATGGAGAGGGGTGAGGAAGGGAGGAAGCCGTTGGTTTCGGCGATTGGGTCTTGGTTGCCGGAGATGATTGAGTTGGATCCCCAGTTGCTTAGGGGGGTGGTTTGTAGTGAGGAGGGGGTTAATCCGTTAACTGGGGAGAAAGGGAGGGGGGTGGTGTTGGTGGATGATAGGGAGTATGCGATGCATGGGTGTGGGGAGGTTGTGCAGGGTGGGTTGGCCGGGGAGGATTTGGTGGAGATTGGGGAGGTACTTGCTGTGAAGGGAGGGAGGATTCAGGTATCTGGTGATGAGCATGTTGGGCGTGTGGAGAGATTTATGCAGGAGGGGTTGGTTGTTTATAAGAGTGTCGGCGTGGGTCTTACTGATTTGACGGCTGGCCGGGAGGTTTTGAGACTTTATCAGGTGAAGCAGGGTAGTTGTGAGAAGGTAGTCGATTATCATTGATGATGGGAACAATGCCATTAAAATGTTCAGCTGCAGGACGTATATGCTAGAACTACCAGATAGCATGGTTGTCCATCATCGTCGATACCCATTCTGCATCAAACAATTCGATCGAGTTCACCATGGCCATCATCTCAGCAGATGTCAACGATGGCTCAAATGCACATCCCGCCGTCGGTGTGGAATCACCCCCAAGGAACGGATCAGAACAAGAATTCTCTTCAATAGGCGTTACTGTATGAGCCTCATGTGAAGAAAGCGGCTGTTTTGTGATAGAGTGTAGAGGAACTTCAGCATTGAATTGCCCATTCTGGTCCTGGCGTGGCATGAGCAAGTCCAGTTTCTCGTCTAGCTGCTGTATTTCCGATTGCCGGAACCGTGCTATCTGATTCCCAGCCTCGACCATGTCATTGAATATTAGGTCCGCTGTAGCATGCCACCACGTATCGTTGACTACCAATTGACGGTCAATTGCCGGAGCCATTAGAAGAACCACCGTGGAGATGAAAAGAGATTCCAGATCAAAAGTGAGGAAGGTTTCTAGTCGTTCCGTTAGTGCCATAACAATATCGGACGGACATGTTCTTTACCTAGAAGGCCCTGAGACGCTAGACCGTGCAAGATTCTTATACTGTGCAGCGCAGAGTCTAAGCACATCTTGATCAAATTCCTTACATTCTGAGATTTTTGGAGGGATTGAACACATGTTTCCGCAGACTCAAGTCGGATTTTGAGAAAGCAGAACAACAAAGGCCTGGTAGCCACTATTACGCACTAATCGAGTCAATATGAGAAGAATGACTAAGTAGATGATCTCACCTGTTGGTAAAATAGGTGCAAATATGCTGCTAATCGAGAGAGACCACTGTCTGTTGCTTCTAGACGCAGAGGAAACGATTTGTTGAGGTCATCTGCCAGTCCTGCTAGGTAGGACAATGCTCCTTTGATGTTCAATAGAAAGGTTCGGTTAAGTCTGCCATCAGTGGCATATACTGCTTTATGTTCTTGAGTAAGGTTATCAAAGCTAAAAAGGAACGGGGACCTTACTGGTGTTGATATCAGCTATGCTCCGGCATAATTTGATCTGCATGTCTAAGCTTGTATTTTTTTCAGAGGTTTCAGGAGAGGGCAACTTGGCTTGAATGAAGCGGTCGTCGACAGACTGCGGAAGCCCCTGGATAGATGTCATGTGCCTGTCCAGAATATAGACAGTCCACCAAATCTTCCTGCACCTCTCCACATTATCCCGTCCCAGGTCCATGACGGACATGCAGGTGTGCATGCCATGAGCCATGGCCATTCTCATCGCTTGGCCCACCTGTATCCAATTAGCTAGGAACCTCGTAAATTACCCACTGGTAGCCTAACATAATTATGAGAGGCAGTTCGACAGTCGAGGGATTGGTAAAAAATGGCAATACAGCATAGGATCTCAGTCGATACCATCGGCAAGGAGTAAAGGAGGGTGTGATCTGGCAGTATTTGCAAAGCTTTGACAAAAAGGCTGATGCCAGCGGGCTTTCCTTTAAGGTACTTCACTTGAGTGAACATTTTCCCGAAAGCTATAATGATAAGAAAGTGGATGTACCATAGCCCCCTCGGTCTTGTCCGCTGATCTTCCGAGTAGAAACTATAGAGTGATTCCATAAAGTCACTGTCATCAAACAAGTGGTATAACTGCCCGCAGCGAAACCTGACGGCATTGATCAGGAATATGGCATGGTCAAGAGTTGGAATGACAGGGCTTTCTGGACTCGGATCAGTTCGAGATCCGTCCCAGCCTAGGTCATATGCAGTCCCCTCGAACGCCAGCGCCTCTGTTGGCAAGGATTCTTTGTGGACATGTTCATGAACCATACTGAGTACGCGTCGAGCGAAGGACCAATTAGAGGATGTCCCTAGATAATCTAAAAGTTGTTAGACATATCTCCAGGTCATGACATGAACGTACAAGTTCTTCCATTGCCCGGTGACATAAAGGCAGGTGGCCCAGAGACTAGTGGATTCACTAATCCAGATTCAGGATTTTCTCCGTCTGGGGGAGTATAATAGTTATCTTGTGTTCTCGGGAGGACGTTCACGAGAAGCTGAGCCTGAAAATGTTAGCATTTACTTAGTGGGGAGACCTTGAGGAGGTCCAATGAGTACTAATCATTATCGGGAGCCAAACCTAAAGATGTGTGACGGTCACTTGCATAGTTCTCCAATTGTGCTGCTCTCTGCTTCAACTCCGCAAGTTGCCTATGTAGCTCTCGCCTGTCAGTCGACGGTATGAATGGTTAGGCCCAGTGTGGCAGACCTCCGTGTCACTAGAACCTTCTGGCTCATGTCATCGAAAATGCAAGAGAGATTTCGGTTGCTACAGCTAAAGCATGGCTGTGTTCCAGAACACTTGATCTTCTGTCTCCGGCATCGTACGCACCTTTTCGGAAAATCTTTAGCGATAGTAGTTGGTTCAACACGAATGACTCTTACACCTTAGCTGATCTCTTTCTGGCTTGTGCGACGCCTGCCACTGAACTTTTTCTCATCTTGGGTGAAGCGCCCAAAAAGTGATTCAGGAGAATGTTCCAAGTATGATGGCGCAGTAGGGAAATTCAGTAGGAACATGCGATAGAACAACTTAGAGTGAGGTTAAGAAGCGAAGTTCAGCAGAGAGTTTCGGAATAGAAAAGGTGTATTGAGTAGAGACAAGATAGATGAAACCACAGATGAGAAAACGCTATACCATGAGAAGAAATTGCAATTTGAGAAGAAATTCTGATACGAAAGATACTATAATGTAAGAAAGACCGGTGTGCGAAGAGACAGATGCTTATCAGAAGAGACCCCCACAAACAGGCGGGGAAGTATACCCCGCTCACCGGCGTATTTCCATATTAAGACTTGCAAATAGCACCAGGTTTACTAACCATAGTGAGATGCCTTTCATGACTCTACGATTATCTTCCATGATTTTGGTATTATGATGTCAACAGTATCTCTGAAATATTAATTCGAAATTGTTCCCCTATAAATTCAATTGAGAAGCATTAAGCATAGTGGCCAAATTTCGGCCACTTCCATCTAAACCACAACTAACCATAGAGGAGTGATTTATTTTGATTGCGATAATTGGTCATGAAGGTTTCACAATTGCAACAGCTTGTCGGGAACGTTGCCGATGCATATTGTGAGATATCGCTTAGGCTCCCGACAGACTGATCCACTTCCCCGCATGCACTCTATCACTGAATGGCAGTATTATGTTCCATCCAAGTCATGAACGATCGACAAGTGACCCGACGCATGAAAGGAAGATGTCTCTGATCGGCTACACTGCCGGTGATGTGGCATTGGCTATCTCTCCTGCTACGGACAGTACGCAAAGTATCAGTAAAGCAGACATGCTCGAGCGGGCGCTGAAAGCGATAAATAGTCCACGAGCTCTGGCTAATCCTACGAGCTGACATTCATCTCAAACCTACTTCCCTTGAGTAATATCCACCGAGAAAATGAGAGTCGCCAGATCCATCAACGTCGTGGGCTGCCACTGTGCCGGCGAAGTATGCGACGTAATCGTCGGGGGTGTTTTGAATCCCTCGGGATGCAGCACCATGTATGAGAAGCTCGTTCACTTTCGCGACAAAGAAGACCATATCCGCCAGCTTCTCATGCAAGAGCCTCGGGGGCGACCGGCTATGTGTGTGAATCTCGTTTTACCTGCTTGCAACCCAAAGGCCGACGCTGGGTTCTTAATCATGGAGACTGAGGAATACCCTGCCATGTCTGGAGGAAACACCATTGCCACTACGACTGTTCTCCTGGAGACAGGCATGGTGCCCATGACTGAACCAGTCACCAAGATAGTCCTGGAAACCCCAGCAGGTCTAGTGCCTGTCACTGCGGACTGCGAGGGTGGGAAGTGCAAGGCGGTCGCGTTTGATAACGTCCCTTCGTTTGTTTTCGCCCTAGATTACAAGGTCGATGTCCCTGGACTGGGGACTGTCTCGGTGGATATTGCATGGGGAGGAATGATCTACGGGATTGTCGATGCGACTTCACTCGGGATTAGCATCAGCAATCGAAACGGGCCGAAATTGATTGAATACGGAGAGCGAATCAAAGATGCTCTCCAAAAGGCTCCATTTGTTCCCGTCCATCCGGAGAACCCCGGCATAAGAGGCATTAGTATCGTTGAATTTACAGAGCCACTTCAGCGGGATACTATGACGGCCGTCAATACCGTTGTGGTTTCTCCTGGGCGATTTGATCGGTGCCCGTGTGGCACAGGAAGCTGTGCAAGAATGGCAGTACTCCATGCTCGGGGTCAGCTCGCAGTAGGCGAGAGATTCCAGCATCATAGCATCATTGGAAGCACTTTCGAGTGCCACATCCGCGGGACGCAGAAATTGGGGGACTATGACGCTGTCTTGCCGACGGTGAAAGGAAGTGCTTGGATCAATTCGTTCAAGCAGATGGTGTTGGATCCCACTGATCCATGGCCGGTGGGCTTCCGAGTTGGCGATCAATGGCATATGGCAGAGTAACAGCATGAATTTACGGCTTGGGATGTAGCAGACAATCCCCAGTTCGAGTTATGTACATAGTTATGTATATATCCTGACTAAGCATAGCGGGATGTATCCCCAAAGCAGCATAAAACCCAAAACGGCAATGCGATTCATCCCACTTGAACATTTGATATAATGAAATATTGATATACTATCAACTATGACAACAATGGCCCAACACCCCTCCTCAGATACAACCATCTTTCTGGACCAGCCTCCAAGCTGTCTCCAATTCCACCCCTCTTCCCGGAACCACTTCCTCGTAGGCACCTACCTGCTCTCAGAACACAAGGACGATGACTCTGCACCAATCCAACAAACCAAAACGGGCAGTCTCCAACTATGGCACTTAGATCCTGCCACAAACCAGCTGTACCATCACCCCAAATACCACTCGTACACATGAACCTAACAAGTAACGCAGAACCCTCCGCCACAAACACCCACTCCCATTCGCAGTCTTCGACCTGCACTTCCACCCCACTGACCCAACCCTGGCTGCGATAGCAACCAGCGCAGCATCAGTGGTATTTTTCCGCATTACCCCCAACATTGATGCCGGGGAGGACGTCAGTTCCTGTATTAAAGAGATCCACTCCCACCAAGTCCACGAAGACCCCTCCATCCCAGCCCTCTATCTAGCCTGGTTACCTGCTGGATGGCATTCCACCACCACTTCCACCTCTACTACCAACCCCGAGGGAGAAACAGAATACGGCTTCGCTGTAACTTTCTCCGACGGGCTAACCACCATCTTCAACACCAAACTATCATCGCCTCCCAATTCCTTCTCCATAGCAGAGGAATCATCCTACCCCGCCACCCAGCAAATAGAAGTTTGGTTCGTTGCAGCAGCTACATACCCTCCACCTCAGTCCGATGGGGGTAAGATGCGCTACATCTTTACAGGGAGTGACTTTGGCTCGCTGCACACTCGCTATCTTCCTGCTCCTTGCAAGAGGACCAATTCAGAAGATGAAGATGAAGCTGAGGTTAGCACGCCCATCCTCTCCCATGACGACCGCGCCCGCCACCACACTGCAGGCGTGACGGCCATCTTGCCGCTCCCTGTGCCTATGACTGATGGCGCGCCGTGGCTTCTAACCGGAAGTTATGATGAGTCGTTGCGGGTGTATCATGCGTCTCGGCGGGGGGAGGTACTAGGGGAGATTGGGCTCGGGGGTGGGGTTTGGAGGTTGCAGATTCTTTCTTCTGTGTCTCGTACTTTGGATGGTGAGGAGGGGGGTAAGGAGTGGGAGTTCCTGGTGTTGGCGAGTTGTATGCATGCTGGGACGAGGGTGGTCAAGGTGCGGGTTGTGGGTGGGGAGAGTGGGGAGTTGCAGGAGTGTGATATGAATGTGTTGGCGGAGTTTACGGAGCATGAGAGTATGAATTATGCGAGTGATGTGTGGAATTTGGGAGGGAAAGGAGGGGAGTTGGTGGTTGTGTCGAGTAGTTTCTATGATCGGAGGGTTTGTGTGTGGCGGGTTAATGTATGAGTATACTTGCCTAGTCTACATAAGATCTGAGAAGAGGGAGATGAAGTAGGTTTATGTTATGTTCGTAAAACGCTCGAGAGGTCATATGCAGAAGTGAACATCAACAACAGGTATACCAACGAAACACGCCCCGTCCCGAAACGAAACCCGAGAATGAAATGATTATAGATAAATCAGACGATCGTCTCCAGCTCGCGCGCATAGCCGATCGCATTCTCGATGATCGTGCCGCTGGCCACGAGGATATCCTTCTCGGACCGAGCAGCCGCCTCGGGCTCGACGGGGAAAAAGATGCGGCCGTCACGGAGGACCCAGCCGCGCTGCTGGGCGAACTCGATCACGGCGCCCTCCGATTCGAGGAAGAGGAGGTTCTTAGCGTTGGAGATGGGGAGGGACGGGTACGCCTTTTCGGAGCAGTCTGCGATTTCGCTGCGGATGGTTCCGACCAGGACCTGCATCATCAGCATTAGCTAACCAAACCATCGACAAGAAAACGCGGCGCGCATATTATAGTAAAGCATTGGAATACTCACATTCGAGAACAGCGCAAAGTCCTCCGAGGGCACGCGCTCGGAGTTGGTCTCCCGCCACACCTTATCGTAGCTTCCCTCCATCAAATTCCTCTCCAGCTCAACCGGATACTTGATGAACGGATCATCCTCAACGCTCTTGCCCTTCAGACTCGCCTCCTCGACCAGACCCTCCAGAACCGTGTGGAAGCTCGTGCTGTCGCCCATGCTCAACAACAGCAGCAGATACAAGCCTGTGATCTTGCTGCGCTGGCTGTTTCGGATGTCCACGTGGCCGGCATTCGTGCTGTCCCGCTCCAGGTCGTAGAACGGCTGCAGCTGCTGGTAGTATCGTGTGAAGGTGGGTGCGTCGGTCTGTCGGATAGAGGCGATGGCTCCGAGCTCGAGAACCTCGCGGGCCTGGGCGACTAGCTCGGCGGGTGCTGACGGCGTGGGAATCAGGACATTCTGCAGGAGGAGGGCGCGCTTGCCGCGACTGAGGAGGTCGTTGACGGCTTCGAATTGTTGCCGGCCGAGGGCGCTGTGGAGCTCGGACACGATGACCTTGAGGTCGTTGGCCATTGTGGATTAGAGTAGTAGAATGTATCGGCTGAGGAGATATGTGTGTACGACGAGCAAGATAGGGAGGAATTAGGAATGATAGACTGGTTGGATTGGTGTGGTGGTGCAGTGGTTTCGAGATGGAAGTGCTGGTTGTGACGTTGGCAGCCGCAGCTTCCAGGAGCTTCGGAGAAGCCCATCACGTGACACCATCGGGCAAAACTACGGATCAAGCTTATTTTGTTTACATTCTTTGAACTCTCTCCTCTCTTGAGTTGCAAAGAGCCACTGCCTCTCCTGCTTACAAGCTGCATACTTTCAACCATGCTTCATCATATATTGTCGCATAAAAGGAACCCGCCTTTCTGCAGCTATTGTAGGGCGCCCTCCGCGTCGTTCTTGGCCGCCGCCTCCGCATGAGCCTAATATTCCAGGCTACGTAGCTGCCAAGGACTTTGAGCCACTTGCAAAGTCATACACCTGAAATCCAACACCTGAAATCCAAGAGTAGGCCCTTCTCTCTGACCAGTGACTGTACTATCTTTGACATACTATCTCCGGTCTTTTGGGCCGCGCCATGGTCACTACCATCTTCAGGCGATGCACAGGTGAAAACCCACTAGATTGATTGCATGACGTCCCTTAGTCCTGTGGTTGAAGATCAGACATTATGGGAGGATTGGAAGCAACTTGCAGCACTGTGCGACACTTTCAAGGCCTATGATAACCTCCATTTGACACCCCTCCCTGATCTTTACCGGTCTGAATACTAGCCGTACCCATTGGCTGAATGGTGCAGTGCAGGACAGCGCCTTGAGGGATGATCTTGCAGACTTCGAGCCACATTTCATACACTCTCTGATAAAGGTCCTTAAAAACCTGTGTAGTATCTATGCAAATGGAGCGTCTGTTATCACGCATCAGGTTGATTGTCGAGTGGACTAGTGCATTACGCCTCCGTGGGGTTGGTACTCACTTCTGGGACGTTTGGGCGGGGCCCGCCTCACCCAGAGCTTGGGAAAATGACAGTAGCGTGCCGTTAGTGCACGGCAGCACGGTAGCCACCAGAGCTTTGAGCTTATGAAACGACTCAAAGGCCTTTGGTGGCTCGTCTGGGTGGTTCCGTAAAACATGCCTACTGTGACAGATCCGTTGGAGTTGGCAAATAGCCTAATATTGGGATCCTCTTTTTGGGCCTGCTGGACTGCTACAGTGGCTTTTTTGATGGCCACATGACCCTCTGGATTGTAGACGTTGACATTGTATTCAGTTTTGATCAGATGATGAGGTTTGGTCAAACCGTGTCACAATGCCTGTTTAGCATGTTAAGTAGTAATCGAAAGGCTGCCATATGCTAGTAGAACCCGCAGGGATACCGTTATCTTTCTCGCCCATTATTACTATACCTATGAGACCAAAAGGTCAGCGTAGTATTGTGTCTTGACATCTTTTTTGCGATTCTAGAATGTGACAGTGACTCACCCAGGAGCATTGTATAGCGTCTGGCATCGTAAGGTACTACGCATAGAAAGCTGAATCTGGCAGCCTAAGACGTTTATCTATGGCCTTGGGCATTAGTATACTGAGGGTGATTAATTTATGCTTGAATCAAAAGAAATCATTCCTAAACGGGCAAGATTATAAGCCCCCGTCTTTGTGCCCAAGCACGTGTTTTCTATATGCTTTACTCGGGTAGTAAACTTTCACACTCAGTGTATATACTGGACAGCTGAAACCAGTGGGGTGATACATGACGGTTCTTTTCATCCTTAACCCCAAGCTCCCCATAAAGGTCCTGTCTCACCTTCCTGGGTAATGTTCAGACCCTCCCATCCCCCTTAAAAACCGTCCCGACTAGTTATCAAGGAAACATAGTCGTCCAGTTCTGCGACGATTGTGGTGACCTTCTGGAGGAATCATCCGATGACACTCTGAAATGTGGGATATGTGGAAAGACCGCTAAGATTACACCACCCCAGCCTCCCTCCCTAACTACCGCAGGGCTGACCAAGCGCAATAGACATGGCAATGCATCGTGCGCAGATATCCACATCAGAGAATTTCCCTTCCAGGCTCAGGAACAGACTGAAATCGAATACGCAATAGGTGACTTAGAAAACTATTGAGAAGGGTCCCTCCATTAACATGGCATGTGTCAGATGTCCTTCTAGGAAGGTGACCTATGCCCAGGTTCAATTGCGGAATGCAGATGAGGGAAGTACTATCTTCTATACCTGTGCTAAATGTGGACATAGATAAGTAGGGGTCTCGCGTGAATGCGGATTACTTGCTAATCCTGGTGCACCAGATGGCAGAATGATAATTGAGGTGACATTAGAACACTTCTTCTGCCCGAGGGTCATCAGGTCATTTCATCGTCGGCTTATAACTTTGATATGACAATGAATTTACGAATGGCATGGGGTCTATGCTTTGTCCAAGCCAACCCCTACATGGAGGTTTTACAGTCAGATCTAATATGGCACGAGACACTCATATTATTTCCAGATAACCGTACATTGCAGAATCACATAAACAGTCCTTTACATATAACATGCTCAAACAAACCAATCATCCCATCTCACCTTCAAAACCATAATCAACATCATCAGCATCAAGCCAAAATCGCCTTCTCATTCTCCTTCAAGAATGCATCCACAGAAGTGAGTCCCTCCGCCAACGCCCCCAACTGCTCACGACAATTGCTCACTCCATCCCCACCGGGCACCTCATCCGCCCATCTCGACGAAGCAGCACCAAGATGTCCCTCCTTGATCATCCCATCCACGACCTCATCATCCAAAAACTCCACCTTCACCTCTTCACCCACCACCTTCCCAATCTTCCCTGCCAGCTGCTCCACCGTCACCACCTCCACTGCCACATCAACCGCCTTGTTCGCAAACCTTTCAGGATCCTTAACCGCCGCCGCAACCACAATCCCCACATCCCGAGCATCCACCAACGGCAGCTCCGTGCCGGGCCGATATGCCACGCGCAGGACCCGTTCTTCCTTGAACGCAGGGAACATGAAGTCCCGCACAGGCGGCAGGAGGTTCTGAAGGAAGTGTCCCGGTCGGACAAGCGTCCAGCGCCCGCCCTCCTTCGCTTCCGCTACTTCACGAACACGATTCTCCAACGCATGCTTGTTCAACCAGTATTCCTTCATCGGGTGAGCACCACTTTCCCATCCGGGAAATGACTCATGCTGGCCTGTCTTCAGCGCTGTCCCGAGAATAATATGCGAGATAGTGGATGATTCCTTCGCAGCGAGAATGATGTTCTCCATGCGCTGGAAATCAGCCTCGGGTTTGCCGGTCTGCACTTCGGTAAAGAACACGGCGTCCACGTTTTGTGTTGCATCGCGGAGAGATTCCAGGTCGTCGAGGTCGCCTGTGACGAGAGTCGCACCTTGTTCGGCGAGTTGGACTGCAGCGCTGCTGGCTGGGTTGCGCACGAAGGCGGAGACGGAGTGGCCCGCGGATAGGGAGTGCTGGACGACGCCGCGGCCTTGGTTGCCGGTGGCGCCAATGACGAGGATGGTTTTGGGAGACATTGTCAGTGGTTGGTTTGTAGGATTGTAGATTGAGAAGTGAATTGTGTTTGATAGAAATGTGATTGGCAATGGGGTGGTGCAGAGAGAACATTTATAGTCGTTGTGCTGCCTAAGCTGCTTCTTAGTGCTTACTGCGTGTATAGTAATTCTTAGATTTTACAGACGGGTGAAGGATCTCTCACCGTAGTAAGTTGCTGTGTACAAGGCTGTACAGATGTGGGTGGGTAAGCTTAGTTGTTTCAGAACGATTAGCTTATGCAGTATCTTCTAGATTACTACTGCTGTAGCTAAGACAGTGGACAGATGTAGCGGGTGTCCTAACGCATCGCGGATGTTGTTTTCAACACGAGCACCACAACCACTAGCCAATTCTAAGAATCCACACTCAATCACTAGTCCCACCTTTCAATTCCTACATTCATCGAGCTTCTTGGTTTGGTCACGAAATCTATTCGTCGCATTCATTTCAAACCTACTCACCATTGGCATAACAAGACGAATAACATCAGCAGCACATAACTAGGACAGCCCGCTGCGTACTAGGCTGACAGCGCCATCTGCTCCAGAGTCTGATACAGAGGCGTCCCCAGCCCAGTAACCGGGTCCCATCCCTTGGTGGCATTCCAGCTAGCATACGGGACAAGAGCTCCTCCATTTGATCCCTCACAACCCACTGATCCGCCGTCTACAATATCCGTGAAACCTTTCTGATCGAGCGAGTAGAGCCACGGATTCAATAACCCTAAGGTGGGTTTACCCTGCTTGAGACGTGCAGCGTTTAGTCGGGAGATGACTGCTGCGAAGACGGGGGCGGCCGCACTATAATTGCATTAGCTCGTTCGATTCTAATTGTTTGCTTATGTGCTAGTGATGGTCTACTCACCTTGTTCCCGCAGTCTGTAACCATTGCCCATGGTCCCTGATAACATAGTTGCTAGCCTGAGCCGACACATCAGGAATGCCCCGTCCGTCTCGGTTATACAATCCATCCCATTTGTCACCTAGACGGGCGAGGTATGCTTCCACGCTAGCGTTCTGGTACGATGGACGAGCAAAGCGCTCGGAGAACCCACCTCCCGAGAAGTCCACAGCCATTTCCGGCTCGACGCCCTCCGTCCCACCCACGGATGTCACGAACGGACAGGAAGCCGGGAAAATAGGTTGGAAGCGGGTCCTCTGGCTTCCATCGTTGGATACACAAGCCCCTCCGACGCCCGAGTCTCCGCTACTGAAGATCACCGAGACCCCGCGCGCACCTAACTGGGCGAACAGATTGCACGTGGCTTCCGTGTATTCCTCCGGAAGGCTTTGCTCCTCCTCGCCGTAAGACGTGCTAAGTACTGCAGGGAGATCCTCATCCGGAAGACCCACTAGATAGTGGAGCTGTTCGAGATACGGCTCGTTGGTCGACCCGTCGGTACTCACTGTACCCGTGTCCGAGACAGACGGGGCACGTCCGGCCGTAGTGTAGAAGGTCGCGTTAGCGTTGAATGCCATGGAGAGGGCGTATTGGATGTCGAGGCTGGCTTCGGTGCTACCTTCCTGGGAGTTCTGGGGGTTTTGGCCTCCGTTGATGGAAACTACGGAGAAGTCGGCGTCGATGCTGTCTGGAGAGTATACTTCCAGAAACTCGTCGAGGTCACTGTAGCGTGCGTATTGGTCGAGGTAACCGGAAATTCCGAGGACGTTGCGCGAGTCGGGAGTTGCTTTGGTGCTGGGTAGGCCGTAGAGTTGGCGGAGGCATGTTGGCGTTACGCCTGTTAGGCAGTCTTCGCTTATTTCGTCGATGTTGATCGATACAGGCATGAGGCTCGGTAGGCTGGTTTGCGTCTTGGGCTGTCCGAAGCGAGTCGTTGGCTGGATCATTTGGAGATAGGCATCGACTTCCTCCGGGACCGAATACTTGAGCGTCCTGATCTGAGTTGTGTTTGTCTCCAGGTGGTGGAAGTTGTAAAAGTCTGTCTTCATCATTGCTTGTGCTTGGGCCAACGGGACTGTGAAGGCGACCCAGTCCCCGCGATCTTCAATAGCATCCGATGGAACATGCTCCGATTCAAGCCAGGAGAAAATGGTCTTTGAAACCTGGTCGGACGGGCGCATAAAGGCTCTCACATCGTCGCGTTTCATATGCCGTCCATAGTCTCGGTGACCGGGTGTCGAGATATCGATGACTTTCTGCTCGAAATCCGCCTTGTAGTCATGATGCATCGACAACCAGAACTTCATCGGTGTGGATGGCGATGGAGCTGTGCCTTTGCTCCATCCTTCGGGGATGCTGCTTAGTTGGTCTACCACGACATAATCAGGCGCTGTAGCTAAACCCGTATGTAAGAGGGAGAGAAGTCCCAAGAGATATTTGAGATATGTCATGGTCGCTCGAATGTCGCATTAGTTTCAAGTACTGATACCTGGCGTAGTCCCAGGCGAGGCTGTCTCAAACCTTTACCCACTTGCGGATTAAATTGCCGCAGAAATTGAACTCTCTCTTGCACTCCTAGAAGGATGTCGTGCTGTGGTCGCCTGTAGCTTCCTCCCCCCATATAAACCAAGGAAGCCGACAGTTGTTGTGAAGAACACCCCTCTTCTCACCCGCGTTACATTTTAGAAATGTCGGGTATGCCAATAAGGCGGGGTCTTGTTACCAGTTTCATCGGTGTGGTTGGAGGAGACGCGTTAAAGTTATCGAGCAATCCAGAGGACATGGAGAATGTGACAGCGTGTTTACCAACACAGAGAGCATGTAACTCCGCAGATCCACGGACACTAGACGCCATTTTTGCTGGAAGAGCTTCGTTAATTGTTAGGCTATAACCATGAATTAGCATGTCTGCGATGTGCGTATTGAGTGTCTTTTAGCGAAATCGAGGTATGGTAGTGGTTCGAAGCTTCTACGTCCTTGGCAGCAGTGCGACTTGCTTAAGGGGCGGTCCGGTTGGGATTGAGTCTATTCAGGGCTCAATGCGCGGTTATTTATTGACTCCCTTTTTTAGCAAAGGGGCGTTGGGAATGCGCCAATCAAGGAGTGCGGGAGGCTGCAGCTTGCTTTCCGTGGGAGATAATCCTGTGGTTCTCTGACTGAATGGAACAAAGGAATTAGTGCAATTGAGAACTTCCTCCAGTGCAGTGTAGATACCCTGCCAGCCCGAGTACGTCAAAAAAATTGATCGTGTATTAAAGAGCTCGCGGTCATATGCTGCTTGATTCACAAGGACAAAGGACTGGGAACATTCAGCAGATACTAGGTTGCTCATACTCTGATTTGTCTTTGGTAATGCTGACTATCTATCACTGGTAGACACGTCCTAGCTGACACCTCATGGACTCGACAACTGTATTATGTGGACAAATGCAGCCAGCGGTGCGGATTCCATTATTCGAAATTCTTTCAAGAAGCATACTAGTCAAAGATGTTCAATAAGATGTTTGATCGGCTCTCTTACAAGACTTTTAGACATTTGGGACGGAAAGGGATGGATACACGAATGTTGCATGATTATAAACTAGATATAAAATAATGTACAAGTTATTCAAAAGTAAATATAAAAGGCGATCTAAGTAAGAGTGCTATTTCCTGTTCTATGACTTTTCTACTGCGGTCTAGCCAGTTTCAGCCTGAATAACCTTATCAAGTTCATAATCTAATCAAAGCACCTTAGTCCCTGCTGCAGTGAGCCTTCTTATCGCGCGCTAGTCTCTATCCAATGTACTCCGCATGCTCGATAAATTCAACATCAGACCGAAGTCTTTCTATATCGTCATCCCGTAGACATGTCGCAACTACGATATCGCCTTCGCGCGTCTTGGGCAATACGAAAGTCAACCCCTCTACCTCATTGCATCTTGGCTTTCGTACAGCCTCGGGCAATCCCAAACCAAGGTTGAAGTCGAAGCAACAGCCCTCCAGTTTCGCCCACGAACTGAATATAAGATCCGTTGTTGTATCAACCGACGCGCCAAAGGAGAATTTACTCTTGTCAGGCGTACGGCTCAGGAAGGTTGCAATGGCACGCGTGTGGTGTTCCAAGCGCGATCTGTCGCTTAGGGCTAACCGAAGCTGCAGTGCAATGGTACCCAGTGGCTCCTCAGTGAGTCTCCTCATCGGAAGCCCGGTATATACATTGCTTTGTATGGGACCGGGGTAGAGGGAAGAAATACCGAGAATGCCTCGTACATCAACGGCGCGCATCAGGTTCGAGTGAGTGGAGGGGTCCAACCGCCGCAGACGAGCCCGAGTAACAGATTGCCAGATGAAGGCTGTGAGTGCATCGTCAGTGGAGACGAAGGATGGCGGTGCGAGGGATGCTATAGCAACTGATTTTAATGCTTCTTGTGAGCGACGAGAGATCTTGAAAGATGTCCATGAGCATTTGGACATCAGAGCCTCTGGCGAGTCTGATGGGTGTCTCCCGAGCCCTCATTGACAACCTGACCTGCTAACCACTGAAAGCTTGTACTGAGTCTCTCAAGACCTTTGGTAAGTGTGTCGATGATTTTGGGGCATGTGGAGTTGTCCGGGAGGGGAAAGCAGAAACATGATTGAATATTGATAGTGAAGGTCTGTTGACCGAAAATGTCGAGATAATCGTTCATACTGCTTGAGAAGATAGAATGGGAAGTGAACTTGAAAGATGGATATATACATCTCGTGAATATATATATTTATCAATATGCAGTGGTTGCATAAATCATGATTCATAATGAGTTGGTAGCACACTAGACCTGATCGGGTCGCCGACCGAACCTATTTGTTAATACAACCAAGAAACACCCTGCTGAATATCCTCGCACGGTGAAGGACTCCACGCATAATAAAAAGTGCTTTTCGTAAGGGGCTAGTTGAGTGGAGTTGCGCAACAGGAGCCGGTGACTCGAATTCGAGTCGTTGTACAGCGTCAGCGTCGGGCACATCGCCACCCGTCAAGAGCTACTACTTGGTAAGAGACCGCTGTCTTTTCGTGCATCATGTCTGATATTGTTAGGCGAAAGGGAGTATTAACCTACAATTATCGCCTAGGATGTGCCCTCAACATCAACATTGTTACATTTGTCTGCGTGGTCACCTCAGGGGCAATGCTCCACCTGACCCTTGGCGGAAATATATATCATCATGATACAGGACCATCTGGAAATGCCCGACAGATTGGATTTCTAGCGATGTGTTCCCAGCCGAGACAATCTTCTAAGCATCTACAGATTCATGAACCGGGCGAGTGCTCCTCCATACCGATCACCATGAACCGGGATTTCCTTCAGAATGGCAGCAATCTCCTTCACCTCGGATTCCGACAATTCTACATCAGCCAGGTTCTCCTCCACCCTCTCGACCGTAGTGCATCCGGGAATAGGAATAATCACCGGATTGCCGGGTAGCTTATTCTGGCCCCTCACCCAGGCAATAGCAGTCTGTGCTAGCGTCACATTCTTCTTCTTAGCAATCTGCTCCAACTGCTCCACCAACTTCAGATTGAGATGAAACACATCTGGCTGGAATCGAGGGTAGTTACGCCGAGAGTCATTGGCAGGCAGATCATCCAACGAGCGTAGTTGTCCTGTCAACCATCCTCTAGACAATGGAGAGTATGCTACCAGCGGAACATTCAATTCCTTACAGGCAGCAGCAACTCCGTTCTCCAAAGGCTCTGTAGAAAACAGAGACAACTCAACCTCCACAGCAGCCAGCGGATGTACAGCATGAGCCCGACGCACTGTCTGCTCACTACATTCACTGATACCGATGCCGCCAATCTTCCCGGCCTTAACGTAGTCGGCTATCACGCCGATGGTGGTTTCAATGGGTGTGTTGGGGTCGACTCGCGCGGGTTCGAAGATACTGATAAACACTTTGCCGTTAAGGAGTTTCAAGCAGTTATCGATGCTGGCGCGGATGCCTTCGGGGGTGCCGTCGGGACCTTTGGCGCCCAGACCGCCCTTGACGCTGAGGACTACTTTGCTGCTATCTTCGGGATATTTGGTGAAGTAGTAGTCTAGTAGCTGTAGGGAGTTGGCATGTGGAGGACCGTAGAATTCTCCGGCATTCCAGAAATTGGCCCCGAGGTCCAGCGCACGCTTCATGACTTTGACGGCCTCGTCATATGGAGTGGGGTTGGCGCGCCAGGTAAGGCCTGTTGGTCAGCTTAGGAGGGCTGTTCTAGGAGACAGGATGGGAGAGGATATGGACGTACCCATGAGACCAAACCCGATCGGGCCGATGGTTTTATTGACGAGCGTGACAGTCATGGTGAAAATGTAAGGTATGTAAAAGATAAGTTAAGGGAAACGGTATTGAAGGTAGTAGATTGATATTTCTCGGGAGCTCGTGATGATATCGAGATGGAGACAAAGAAGAGAAGTAAAATGTCAGATGAGGAAGAGAGAAGACCAGCGGGGGGTAGTAATACTTAATCAATCCCGCCACTACTATTTGGAGGGAGGGGTAAATCCATCATTCTATTAACATCAGCGAAATGCCCTAAATCACATCGGATATACGCATTAATGTCCGCCAAACTCCGTGAGAATCCCTGTCACGGACTTGCCTCTCTGAGGGCTCCCCGACCGATCGGAATACCGCCCTGAGAGGCGTAATAGAGATCAAGATGTTGGAGGAACCCTCGATCATCTACAGCTGAAACGCCCAATACCCCTCTCCTCCACGGCCCAGACGCAGATCATCTGACAGCGAATACCTAACACATGCTTAGTGCTTACTTCTCCTCTAGACACAATATTGCGAATACAAATACTTGTACAGTGGCTATGCATTGCGCTGACGTTTACTGAAGATCCTTCTTCTCCAAGGATCTTCATCTATTCCTTGGCCCAGTTCCTCTATTATACTGACGTTGAAGAGGCCAAGGAATTATTAGATGCGCGCATGCGTTTTAGTTTCTTCTACTTCGATGACAGTGCGGTCGGGGACCCAGTTCCTGCAGATCACGAAGCAGATCCCTCAAATGGAGACGCATCTCTTCGAACCAATTACCCATCCAGAAAAGCCAAAAAGTACGACACTCAAAACCATGGTCTCGTTATTCGGGCACAGCCCCCACCAGCAGCGACGGTGATCAACCGGCATAGCACACGAGACTGAATAAAAGTGTAGAATGTGCGATGCACAGTCCTGGACGCACAAAGCAGAATAGAGCAGTTCCAACTACAGAGGATGCAACTAGGAAACATCAATATCGTGCAACCGCTCCGCCAGATCTCATTCCTTTTTGGTCCCAGACTGCCAATTACTCACCCATATCTACGTCCGTAACTGCTATCCTGTGACTTTAACCATCGAAAATCTAGACTGAACAATAACTTCATCCCCCTTTCGTGATACTAACCCACTGCACCCCGTGGAGTGCGTAGCAGGCGATCGTGCCCGCTTTTCCTTCCCCTAAGCTTCCCTGTAATCCGACTTCGATCGCTTGTCAGTGGCCTCCACTGGCATGATATTATGTGCAAATGGATTGAATAGGCACCAGTTTGATAATACTAATCATGAAGTGGTAGTATAGACTCTAGAAGCAGCACAGTGAGAACTTGATATACAAATGACAGCAAAGTAGCCACTTATTATTGACACATCTCAGAACAACGAAATCTCTCTACCTCAACGTATCTACACCTGTTTCCCCCCCTCATTTCCTCCATCCCGATCTAACCTAAGCCAAATATCTAAACTATACGTGACATCAATTCCCCACCGGCAATCCATTGTTATAAACAAACAACCCCTTGGGATCCCACTTCTTCTTCAACTCCAACAATCGTGGCAGCTTCTCAGCCCCATACCACGCATCCAAGCTCTCCGTACCATGGGCATAGCTCACATACACCTGCAACCGGTCAAACCCGCTTGTCGCATTGAATCTTGAGATCCAGCGACTGGCCAGGTCGTTCACCGGCTTTGACAAGGAGGCGTCATCGTAGGCGAATGTGAGCATCCTAAGTATACCCCATGTTAGTCAAATCCTGCTTGAAAAACGAACGGAAGCATTGATGTAAGCCACTTACACATGCGCTGTGATATCCCGATAAGGATACGCTGTTTCCTCATCCTTCACGGCACGCACTGCCTGTGTGGAGAAGAATTCAATCTCGTAGCTGGACCCCGTTGCTTCCGGGTACGCGTAGTAGAAGTCAACCATTGTGTTGAAAAAGGCAATGTGAGTGGGTACATCAATGCGCGCGACTCCCAGCGCCCAGAGATTGTGCATGTCGCCGTCGATGCAGAAGTCCGCGTCCATCCCGAAGAGCGCCGATGTATCGAGTACGTTCCATGTCAGCTGGGTGATGTTGCGCTTGTGGTAGGGGAGGTCGAGGAATGGTTGGAGGTGAGCGAGTCCTTCGGATTTAGGGCCGGCGTACGCTGCATTGAGGATGATAGAGGGCTAAGTTCAGACAGTCAGTCATGTGTCTAAGTCGCTGTGAGTGATCAAACAAATAGAGCACATACACCGTAGGTAGTATCGTTAATAACCAACGTAAACAGAGAGAGTGGCTGAGGGAGAGTGCCATTAAATGAGGCAAGGATTTCAAAAAATGAGCCATTAGCACTGGCCGGAAATAGAAAGTCGGCATTCAAGACGGAGCCATTGTTGGTCAGGTCGTAGATGGTGTATGTCGCCTCGGTAACAATCCCGAAATTGAAACCCGCACCGCGCATGCCCCAGAAGAGGTCGGGCTCCTGGGTCTTGGACACGGTGATGAGACTACCATTGCTGGTTACCAGTTGCACAGACTCGAGCGCGTCGATGATCAGGCCGTGGATGCCTTGGTAGCGACCCACACCGGCGCCCAGTGTGGCTCCTACCATTCCCACACAGGATCCAGATCCAGTCTCTGGTTTATCTCTGGTTAATGACCTTCTAAATTCCCACGAGATGCTTTAAAACTTACGGATCTCCTTTCCAGCGCTGTAGAGCGGCTCGAAGATATCACGAAACCGCACACCACCTCCTATGGTCATTAGGTTGGCGTCCGCATCCACGGCTACCTGATTGAAGCCGCTAAGGTCAATCTCGAGGCCGTATTGCAGCTCAGCAAACGTCGTCGTGTAGCCGTGTCCGCCACCCATAGCCAGGAAGGGGATATTGTGCGTCGAGGCATATTTGACCTTTCCACCATCAGTACTGGGGAATGCATAGAGAACAGCAATAATTGAGTTTCAACCTACAATCCTTTGCACATCCAGAGTCGTGTTCGGCTTGATAGAGGCGAAAAAAGTCGGTTCCTCATATGTCGTCCACCGCTGGGTAGTGTCGGTCCAATTCGTCGCGTAAGGATAGAACACCTCGGCAGCTGGGGAGAGCTGCGATAGAAGCGCGGTGATATTTGAGGCTGTTGCAATCTGCGCGAGCCCGATCAAGGCCGTGGCGTATTGCTTGAAAGAGATCATGGCCTATGTGCTTGCGGTAAAGACAAAATAATAAAATCAGGCACCTAGTGTTCTAAATACCGTTGGTGTGAATATGAGGGCACATTCTGAGGAACGCTGACCGCTGTCTTTTATATCTGGAGTCAACGTGGTGAGTAAACGTAAGATGATGGCATGAACCCACGAGAGATCTGACATCGTATCGGACATCTCTCAACTCAGGTAGCCTCGCAAAAACAATAATATCCGCTGACGAGCAGCCGGGAGTCGAAGGATTCAACTACTATCCTGAAATCTAGATATGGCAATATTAGTGGACTCGCTAACGATAGTGTCCTATTGGCAGGTCCTCTGTTTCGTAGAATGGCTACCTTCATCCGCTGTGGGTGGTGATAAGCTTTGGAAAGGATTCTAAGCATTTCTGGCCGATACTTAGTTCCTTGGTGAAAGCGTTTACTGCGCCGTGTGGTCTAGAATCTGCAGAGGTTCGTCAGTCCGTTACGATATCATGAGAGTTGCGGCTAACCAAATGAAAAGCATGCAGCGCTTTTCTGGAATCGACAGGGGTATTCGAAAAGAGATCCGTAACACGTGGTTTTCAGTCTTAATTATCGTTTGGACCATGGATGCGCCTGAGTTAAGCCTTCAGTTAGGTGGAATCAGTCCCACCTTTGACCTCTGCCAAAATCTGATGTCAGATTACAGCCCCTCTATCAGCAGGGTTGCGGATCCTAGATCACCTAGCTACTAATGCTGACGACGATAATTCTCGGACTGATCCAAAATGGTAGCTCCGAGAACGTTCATGCCCATTTTTGGTCTCATTGTTCTCGTTGAGTATTCCTTTTCCACTTGGTCCGTTTGATGTTTTTTTTGCTGGGGGGGGTGATTGTTCCAGAACCATTTTGCGTCTATCCCCACTTACTCCTTCGATAATCCTTGTACTAGATCCAGGAGTCTCATTTTTAGAGCCATAAGAGATATTTACTATCGATAAAGCCAACTGCCGAGTACGGATCTTTGTCAATCAAGCTCTACATATTCGAAATGTGAGGAACTACTCTAACAAGGACCAAGTATGTACCTGACAATGTTTGGAGGGCGTATCATCATCTGACAACAATGCCATTAGTATACGGACAGGATCTCTAAATTTAGCCGATTAGCTTTCCAGAAAGAAGCTGGAGCCTACGGTCTCATGTGAGGTTCCATACACATTCGGACCAAACGCTCAGGATCAACCCTCATATTACGATTCCGGTCGCCAACACCACAATCCTGCAGAAGGCAACGGCTATCACAATGCCTGGAGCATATTGATATTCCTCTACATGTGGTCCACGAAATTCCAGAAGCAGTGGTGCGTAAGCGAGGGGCATTCCTGAAGGATGGCTATGTTTTACGCGGCAGCTCATGGGTGCTTTGTGGCAGCGCTGATTGCTCACACGGCGCAGGAAGTCCTCCAGTCCACGGGTGAAATCCTTCAATCATCCATTTTGGGGGGTCCCTGCTATAGTTGAGTACCCGTGGCCTGTCCGGGGCTAGGGTATGGGTGTCTTGTGGTAAAAACTGTAGAACAGGAATCGCTGACGAGCCTTCTCTATAGCAACCCTCATCTAAAGAACCGGTCCTGTCCTCGGGATTTATGTAAAGTGACATTTTTCTTTCTTTTTCTGCATCTCCCTTTCTCTGGCTGTCACGGTCACTGTCCCGGGCTTTGCGAGGTATTCGGAGAGGAACTTGGTGGCGTAGCCTCGGGCAACGGATCATTTCGCTTATTGCTTGCCAACCAGCCAGCTACATGCATCACAACCATCTCCCGCCGTAGCTGCTGTCTCTACTGGCCCCGTCCGGGGTTGTAAGACATACCCCAACCAGGGTCCTCACTCTGGGGCGCAGTGAATACGATGGTGGCATTGCCCATGATCCTTCTTCCTGAGTTTGGACAAATTCGATGTTATGTTGCCACGGACCACACGTTGGAGCGATCTGCCGGTGGAGAAGTGGATCACCCCGCGCGCTAATCCAGATCGCTTCACCACCGAGTTGGCAGATATCTTCACAAGGACGCCCTACTGTGCTACCGGGATGGCGCAGCAGCATTTGGTATAGTCAGACATTAGAGCAAATAATGGGGTGTATCCGGTACTGGTCGGTCACTGATCAGAGGTATCAGTGTGGGTCACGGCCTGATATCTGATTGTCTTCCTGCATTCAACCATCCATCACCAAGCCCTTATCATCGGGTGGTCCTTGTTAGCTCGGGCAGTGGGCCTGTGCAGTACACATCGTCCGTCAAATAGTAGATGTTTGGTTTCGAATGGCCGATAGGATGGCGAATTAGGTAGCCGGAGGCCTCACAAGTTTCTGAGCTGTGGATCTGACACAATAAAGACCCAACTGCCAAGATGTAAGCACCTCGCTATAAACCCCCGAAAGGGAAGCTGAAGGATGACGCCCACAGGGGCTGGAAGACAGCGGATGTACTTTTCATCCTCAGATAAATAAGCACTAAAGAATCATTGGCAGGGGAGCGGGCTATACGTGTGTGCAAGACGAGGCTCTGACAAGCACTCATGCCAAGATCCATGCTACACAGTTTAGTCCGATAACCATTTCCAAGGTAATTGGACTCCAACTAACCAGCATTTACTCTTTTCAGTTACCAAAGCACTCCTTAAATGGGTCTAGGTCTTGTCCGTGCTGACTGTGTATTTTAGTGGATGGAATCTTTGGATCCTCGTCCCCCGCTTTCCTTTCCCTCCGTCTGTTCTGTTGCCATTCGTGGTAGTGATCGGCCCTGAGTATAAATGGGGTCCGAGGGCTATTATGCATGAAAGCAAATTGCGCGGATACATTTTCCCGTCATGACAAGATTATATCCTGGATAAACTAATAGAATGAGGGGTAACGCCCACAGGCCTTCATCGTCTTGAATTTCCTTTACAATATCTTTCCAGCTATCTCAATGTTCGGGACGCTATCACAGGACCATTCTACCCAGGCCTCCTACATTGTCCAGGTCACCGATCCTCCCTTTCAGACAGACCGCAATGCAAGAACCCCTCATTTGGCCTGCATGCCCTGTCGTACCAAAAAGGTGAGCTCTCACCCTACACCACTGCAGCGTCCTCGGTTAACAGACGCCCTCCAGCTCAAGTGCTCGGGGGAAAAGACGGGCTGTCAACGATGTCAGGTGAAGAATTTGTCCTGCGTCTTTCCAGATCAATCCGCCTCGCGCTCCGCCAGGAAGCACCGCAACAAGCGTTCCGAGTCCGCTGTATCAGAGACCTCCCATCATCCGACGAACAGCAGTGCCAGCGGCAGGCAAGGCTCTCCAGAATCACGTAACCAGCAGGTACAATCGCCTAGTCAAATACATGTGGGCGAAGAAGAGATGCACGAGGATGTATTTCTTGACTTACCCGATTTCTATGATACGGGCTTGTCCTCTACGCCGGACGCAGAGGATATATCCCGGTTAGAGGCTCCCCTGGGTCTGAGCACTGGTCTACCAACCGGCTCTCTATCAACCAACATGGAAGACACTCTCGGTCACGGGTGTCTATTCAACATCAATCAAGGCAAGTTATTGAACTTAGCCCCGTCACCTTCTCTTTGCCATCAATCCGTACTGACTGAAAGGTGGAGACCGGCACAAGCCTAACTTCCCCGGGCTGCCAGCCTGCATTGACCTCGACACCGACATCCTTCCTGCATTTTCAACATCAGGAGTAGAACGCGCCTCCATTTCCCATTCCAACCAGTGCCACTGCCCCAGCCAAGCCCTCGCTCTCTACGAGCGCACTCAAATTCTGTACAACCGGCTTGACACAACACCTCGCTCGACGATAAACAGCCTTGACGCCCGGGATACCCTCCACCGAAGCAAGGAGATAATCTACCAATGTGAGAATCTAACGGAATGTGCTCTGTGCCGGACACAGTCTCACATCGCTATGATTCTCCTCTCCGTCAGCCACCAGTTGATCATCTGTCTTAAGCGCCAGTGCGCCACCACAAGCCATCACCGGTTGACGGACTGGTATCCTAATGACGCTTACACAGGCCAGGGAACGGGTTTCTCTCACCGTAGTAGCCTGGATCCCGTTACACAGAGGCCGCCGATGCCCTTCCATCACAGTTTGGAATCAGAGGACTTGGAAGACGAGATCCAGGTGCTCAAGACATTACTAACCTTAAGAATGCAAGCCACTGCCAAGCTTCTGGCGAAGTTACAAGATATCATTGACGTTGGGGGGTGGCGCGAGCATCGCGAGTTGCTGGACAGGGTCTCGGCGCTGCATCAGGCTGCCGCGGCTAGTATTCATCGAATGGGGAGGAGAGAGAAATGAGGCATCTGCGTATCTAAAATTGCTGCTGGTGACTGTGATACTGCCTCGTAGAAATTTGTCAATTGGTGGGGCAATTTGAAGATACGGCGGGGATTCCTATCAAGTGCCCTTATCAATGACCGTACAGGAAAACCCCCGTCTTCCTTCTCTCGGAGGCCGTCTAAATGAACACTATATGCTTAGCTCAGAAGCCTCAATGGCATGAAATCCCATAGAGTCTTAAGCGTCAGCCAACTCTTGAATTCATTAAATCTTAGAGTTCCAGGACTGACTGACTCTGGATTATCTGGACAAAGGACACGCACGGTAAGGTGAAGCATGCAATCATTCAAGTGGATGTTTCCGAGAGCTTACACCTGGCCCTGCTTGTCACCTCATACTTTGCAATAAACCGTTCTAAATATCCACGTTTACTAAGACTGGTCCACAAGTACTGTAATCCGAGTAAACATCGTCAAATCAGGCGCCTAAAAAGAAATATAGGTCGACTTGGCGTTGCAATATTGCAACAACCCCGCCTGTCCAAATTCCACGCCAATTCCACTCTCCTTGTGTCCTCCAAACAAACCCTGAAAGCTTGGTTTCTGCGTGCTGTTGATGTAGACACTACCCACATCCAACTGGGCGGCAATTCGACGAGCCCTCGCTATATCACCGGACCAGACACTCGCGCTCAGTCCAGTAGGGGTATCATTGGCCCAGTGGACGACTTCTGATTCCGAGCTCCATCGCAGAAGGGGGAGGATGGGGCCCTGTTCCATCGTTAGACATTTAATAATTCTGGAGAGAAGAGAGGGGACACTGACAAACTGCTCCTCACGGACGAGTCTCGACTCCCTAGGCGGATTATCTACCACCATCAAGGGTAGAAAATATCCCCCCTCCTGCTTACCTTCACCCACTCCATCAAAGCCATACTTCTGTCCAGTCGCCAAAACCTCATATCCCAATTTTTTCACCTCATCAACCAACCCCTTCACTCTCTCAAACTGCATCCGATTCTGCACCGGTCCAACCATGACCCCATCCTCAACAGCACCATCACCGACCTTCATCTCCCTCACCTTATTAACAATCGCATCTCTCACCACCCCATAAACATCCTCATGAATATAAACCCTCTTCGTAGCCACACACACCTGCCCCGTATTCAAAAACGCACTGAGCACTATCTCCCCCGCGACATGCTCAATATCCCTCACATCAGGACACACAATACACGCATCATTCCCACCTAATTCCAACGTCACGCGCTTCAACGTTCCCGCACACGCAGCCATCACTTTCTTCCCCGTGCTCACTGACCCCGTTAAGGAAATCTTCCCAATCCCCGGGTGCTGCGTCATCAAGCTTCCCAAATTGTGCGACTCGTCGTCGTCGCTGCTGCCAAGGCATTGGATCACTCCCGGTGGGAAGAGCTGTTGGGCGAATTCACATATCTTGGGAAGCGTGTAGGGTGTGAAAGGGGAGGGCTTGAGAATGATGCTGTTTCCGGCTTGGATGGCTGGTCCGAGTTTGTTCATTGGCATGGCGATGGGGACTAAATAACAATTATATCAGGATCAGTGGGACATTGAATGGAGGGGAGTTGGGGGGGAAAGGGGAAAATATATACAATTCCAAGGACAAATAGCCCCCACCACACCGATCGGCTCAAAGGTCGTATGTACTACCTTAGAGATATTCTCATCAAGCACGGTATGTTCAACGGGTTGAAGTGAAGCGAAATGCAGTAGAGTATCTTGAGCAATTTGAATTTCTGCTTGCGCTAAGAACCTCTAGTTTATGTGTGTTAGACATATAGTATAAGCATGCATGGACACATTTGATACGGGTTCGGTATCATGCATACCGGTTTTCCTGTCTCAGCAATCAACAAATCGGTTAATGATGGCGCGTGTTCGGCGATCAGGGCGGCTAGCTTCGCTAGGAGCTCCCTGCGGTGTTTCCAGGTGGTGCTTTTCCAAGTGACGAAGGCGTCATTGGCTGCGACGACGGCTTCGTCGAGATCCGCTGAGCTGGCTACTGGTGCTTCCGGCAGTGTGGTGCCAGTTGCTGGGTTGGTTGAGGTGTAGGTGGTGTTTGAGGTACGGAGGGTGCCGTTGATGGTGTTGTAGAATGTGGTGAAGGTGGTTGAGTGAGACGAAGACATCTTGACTGTGTAGTACTATTGACCAAAGCGTACTTTGTGTTTCTAAGATGTTGAAGAAAGTTACCATGCAGAGGTATTATCTATTGATATACTATATATATATTGTTGTTTCTACGCAGCTGTACCCCGAGATCACCCCTCGGAGAGCCTGAAAGGGAAAGAAGCGAATGGACATCCGCTAATTGAATCCTCCGAGGCCACGAATAGAAGCCCCGGACAGTCGAATCGAAGCGGAAGTAGGCGCCCTCCCTCTCTTCCGCTAGTCTATGGAAAAATGTCTAGCTTTGCACACATTCGCGTTACTTTGACCACGGCATACTACACTATCATCAAGTTTGTCTCGGCACGAACCGGACATTGATGTCCGGCTTCTGCCAGAGAATATAGTTCAATGACTCCCGTTCGAGATCCACATCGTCGTTGACGAGCTCACAGTCGAACATGAAGTGGACTTTGGCCAGGACCAGCCGCAGTTCAATAAACGCTAGGCTATCGACTTGTCAGTGGGTGAGAATGCCATAAAATTAGGAGAGCACTCACTTTCGTCCCAAGCACACTCGTGGGCCCAGCAGAAATGGGAAGAAGGCTGACTTATCGTCCATGTTAGGATCTAGCCACCTTTCGGGATCAAATCTCGTAGGGTCACTGAAATATCGGGCGTCGCGGTTGGTGGTCCATGCGTGAACTGAGACCTCTGTCTGTTGAATGAAAGTCAGAAATGCTTGTTTTGCTGATTCACCACGGCACCGACCTTCTTAGGGATATAGTGGCCATCTACATAGGCGCCAGGTGAAATCCGTGGTGGCCCAAAAGGCACCGGGGGGTATAGTCTCATAGTTTCGTTGAGGACGGCGTGAAAGTATGGCAGCTGGCCTACAGAACTGGAAGTGATTTCACTATAGTCTTTGAACCGCGAGCGGATCTCGTCCCGCATTTTGGCGTAGACCTCGGGATGCTTAAGGATAAAATATGTAGCTGCCGATAGAGTTGTCGCTGTTGTTTCACTTCCAGCAATACTAATTCCGTCAGTTTCATGCGCTGTAGCCGAAGAAATAGTCAACACTCACACCAAATTTTGCCCTTGTGCTGCGACCTCTTCAGTCGATATTACTCCCTGACCAGCATTCTCCAGCATAGCAGAAAGAAAGTCAGTTCGCGCATCATCCTTGGGACGCGCTAGACGTCTGCCCGTGCACGTGTGCGCTAATTAGCAATAGTCTCTCACAGAACACAGTAAACACACATAATGAGGGCCTACCTTGCAGCCATTTCTCTTGTGACCTGCGTATGCCGATTCATGTCCTTGATCTTCTCAAAAGGCAAAAGTTCGAACACCTTCTTAAACCCCAACACCATGCCAAACCGTCTCAAGACATCAATGATCGCACCCGCCTGCATATTCCCCAGTATAACACTGATCCAGAATGCTGAAGTCCCCTTCTCCGTAGCCCCAAAGGACTCTCCAAAGACCAGCTCCCCGATGATATCAAAAGTGAGGTAATTGAACCAATCCACGACGTTCATGCCCTGCGGACTGCTTCCGAACTTTTGAATCTGGTTGATCAGCAGATCCACATATCGCTGTTCAAGCTCCTCGTGCGCGATCAAGGCCTTAGCTGAGAACCCGAACGCCCAGAGTCTGCGCATCCGCGCGTGTTCGTTGATGTCCGATTCACCAATAATATCGGACGCTTCGAAATTGGCCACTTTGTAGAAAGTAGATTTGATGAATGTGCCGCTGCCAGTGGTGTTATAGATATCTTTCCAGGCTGATGCCGTGGCGAAAGACAGTTCGTTAGGAGCGATCCGGACTACGTCCCCTGTTCATTATTTCGCAATTAGCATCTGGTTTCCATACCTTCTCGGGATGTTGGCAGTGACATGAAGTAAAACCAAGCATACCATATTGACGATGCAATTCCTCTAATTGGAGATGTATTTTCCCACTCATTGACATGCGACAGTAGAATACCTTTCTCCACATCAGAATTGGCATCACTCAAGCGCAGAGCATGTACAACCCACCTGGCTTATTGCCGCCCATTTTGGTCCGGGAATCTTTGCCAATGGGTGCAACGTGAGAGAATACACAACCCAAAGACAGGGGAGGGCAATGCCCTGATCGAGTTAGCCGTCAGATCTAGACATTAGGCAATGCACTTACCAATATTGTTAGGAAAATAGCCCAATCTTTGAACGATCCCGGGAGCAGCGAGGCCAAGCCGGCTATGGCGCTGGCGACGTGTCCGTCTTCCATGCTGATCATCATTGTTGTTATTTGCATATCCTGTCTTCTATCCTTGTCATATTATTGCTTTGGTCTACAGGCTTTATCCCATTCCTCGGTAGCTCTCGCTCGGGCCATCCGAAATGGGGGAAACCGATGGGCGGATGAGCTGCAGCTGGGCTGTACGTCGATCGCGGGCTACTCGTCATCAGCCATTAATAGATGGAATTAAGAGCCTTCAGGATCCAAAGGTCCGGTTGTCCGAATCCGTCGGAGAATCATCTCCAACGTCAGCTCCAATTGTCCAGACCGGATAATCAAACCAGGGCTTATCAGTATATCCACCGTAGTAGCTCCCTGATCGACGGGCTAATCTGACTTATCGACCCGATTATTATCCGAACGGGACAATAAGAGTCATCAATAATAAAAGCTTCTGGGGATCCTTTGGCTAGAATTGGATCCCGTTGGGTCTGATGGATTCCGGACGTTTCCACCATGACAATCCCCCCCTTGCGCACCACTGCCTCTTCCTCTGCTTACCCTCCCCGGCTGTTTCTTTCTTTGGCTCGGCCCGTTCGCTCTGGCTTACCACAAACAGATGACAGGGTTCAAAATCCTTGCGCCTTCAGTCTGCTCCTCTTCTCTTTCAGGTAATTGCTTCGCTCAGTTTGTGGACCGGCCATTCGCCGCCACATCGCTTAGAACGTGGACACATCGCATTAGCGCTGAGGTGAGAGCGAGGCGTGGTCCTCAGCGTGGCTTGTTGTGACAGCGGAGACACCTGTTCCTTCGTGCGGAGAAGATAGTGTTGGATTGCTGCTGAAGGATGCTTATGTACGGCATGCTAGAACTTGACGTTGGTGGGTGGTGAGAGGCCTCCCAAGTCCAGTATTCTGTACATTTCGCTGGCGATTTATATAGAGACGACAAAGAAAGTATCCGGACAGGTTCATTAGTTCGAATTTCAGGATGTTCGGGACATTAGTATCGACTCAATCGGAATCGGAGCCATTTATCTCCCATGTGATTAGACCACCGTTTGAGAGCGATCGCGAGTTGAAGCACTTGGCATGTTTGGCGTGTCGCACAAAGAAGGTATGACACTCCAGCAGCCAAGATACCCTTAGAATAATGAACAAACGATGTTATCATGCCCTATGAGTAAACAATTGACCTGCCAGTGTAGCTGAAATGCACCGGAGAGCGAACGGGATGTCAGCGGTGTCTCGATCGAGGACTTCCTTGCGAGTACCAAGAAGCTAATTTTCATCGAGGTCGACGGCCTCGTGGGGCCAGCTTGAACAACAACAAGAATAACGAAGAAGTCGAAGATTCAACAGATCAATCCTCCGCTTCTGCTGCACCGAAGAATTCGGACGGTTCGAGAAGAGCAAGTCAGTCATCGGAAGCAGCAAAAGCCCACATTAGGTACAGAGAAGACAAAGAGCAAGATGGAAGAAGGAGTGAGGGGCCCGGTAGTTTGAATGGAGGCACACCTCATGCCACATCGGACCTGGGCGAAGACGGATTGGACCCCGAGCTCTTGACCAGCATGCACGGGCCAGCAACAGAGTTAGGGGCCGAAGTGCAGCTTTCAGACATTCCCATGACACCCGATGATGATTTATCCAGCCTGCTACCTGACTTCGGCCATACAGACTTTGCCAGCAACGACGTCAACCAGGACTTACTCTTCCTCTCACAGCTGGCCGCCTCCAGTACGCCGGAGCTCGTGAACCCGTCGTATCCTCCCAACCCTAGTCCCGCCATGCCACGTCTCTCTTCTTCAATGTCCCGTCCAGGGATCCCGGGGATGTCCCAATTAGCCAGTAGCCCGAGCATCGCAAATCTGCACATGCCCTCGTGCACATGTCTCCAGTCTACCCTGACCCTCTACGAAAGTATCCGCGCCGTGCAGTGGCGTGCCCAATGCGGTGCCAGCGCGGGTGTTTCGCGTGAAATGGCTCACCTGATCCTTAAAGCCTGCAAGTTGGCCCTGAACCAGTGTCATCGGCTCATTGGCTGCTCCTCGTGCAAGCGTGAGCCACTGTTCGTGATGTTGCTCTGTTCTGTCTGCGACCAGTGTCTGACCTGTTTTGAGATCTTTCACGATTCGCACCAGAGGCGATTGCGAAGTAGGAGTATGACCTCCTCGTCGAACGGAAGCAGTTTCATCAATGCATCTGATGCGCGCTCGGAAATGGATCAGCTTGGGGAGATTGTGCAATTGGCCAATTTGCCGTTTGGTGATGTGCCGGTATTGTTGGATGACGAGGATGATATCAACATGACTTGTGGCTTGTTGGCCACGCGGGTAGCCTCAATGGTGCACCTGCTGCGGTTATTGGGGCCGATAATTGATGCTTGTGGGTGGAGGACCCATCATGACACTTTCTCGGGGTTGCAGAAGCGGTGTCAGGGACTGGCGTATACATTGCAGACCAAATCTAAAGCCCGGTAGTGAGCGTAATGCTAATGTGTCATGATCGGTGACTGTAGTATTAGATAGTATATATTGTTTCTTTACAAGATAACATAAGAGCATTAGTCAAATATGATACTAGAATGCAAGACTAAAATACTACTACTCGTTCTCATCCCAGGAAGGCAAGAGCAACCATTGCAGGTCTAGGTAGTCTTTCCTATTTGTCTACTTAGTCATATCCCAATCTTCTTCTATGACACTAAAGGAACAGTATCGTTCAATCCTATGCATCAGCCTCTACATCCACCAACACCATCTCACTTAAACTGTCCAATGTCACCGTCTTACTCAACAACTCCAGGAACGGAATGTCCGTCTTGAACGCCTGGAAGAACCATGACCGGAACTCCGCAGCGATCATACTATCCATTCCATACGCCGCCAACGGCTTGCTCGCATCCAACTTCGCCAGCGGCATCAGTACAAGATTACTGAACCTGCGCGCGACGTGGTCTCCTATGGCTGCACGCAGACTCGCTCCTTCCTCCACGGCGGCCGCGACCTCCATCGGCAGCTTGCCTGCCTGATTCTTAAGCGCCATATCGCCCTCGCCATCCAGCGCCCGACTAAGGAGAATTGCCCGGGGGTCATTCAGCGTCGGATTCGTCCCTTCAAATCCCTTCTTGCGCAACTCCTTCAATCCAAACGGCTCCAACCCTGTCAGGACATGGGCGTGCGCCCGCTCATCATACGAATGCGGCACCGCCTGCGTCTCCGACAGGGCAATATCCATCACCTGGATCATCTCATCCTCATTGATCGCCTGGATCCCTTTCCGAAGCAACAGTGCCTCAATCTCTGGGTTTTCATGTAAGTAGCCCACCTCGGAGATCATACCTAGCCCCAGAGCTACCGCTGGTTTGCCCAGCGCGCGGCGATACCGGGCGAACATGTCCAGAAAGTGGTTGCCCGCGCAGTAGTTGGATTCTGTGGCCGTGCCAACGCTGCCGGAAATGGAGCTGGTCATGAGGAAGAACTCCAACGCCGCGTCGTGGCCCTCTAGCGCACGGTGAAGGTTGAGGGTGCCCTGCACCTTGGGGTCGATTCCCGTGTGCCACGCTGCGTTTGACATGGTCGTGAAGAGCGCTTCATGGAGGCCCATCGCGGCCTGGACGACACCGCCAATGGGGCCCGGTGCGGCCGCAACGACTTGGTCAACATCCGCGCGGGAGCACACGTCCCCGCGCACCACAACGCATACCGCGCCCTGTGTCTCCAGGTCGTGGATAAGGGCCTGCGCACTGGGCTTGTCGGTGCCAGACCGCCCCAGGAAGACAAAGCGTCGCGCTCCGCGCGCCATCATCCATTTGGTCATTGCCCGGCCCAGACCTCCTAGGCAGCCGATCATCACGTAGCTCTTGTTGGCGCTGAAGGTGGTGCGGTGCTTCTGCGGGCGCAGCGCAACCTGTGCCTGGGGGTTCTCCAGAGTGATGACGACTTTGCCCATGCGATTGCGCGAGGAGAAGTAGCGGAAGGCCTTGGTGGCATCGGCGACGTCGAAGGTAGTGATCGGGTTGGCGCGCCCGATCGTGCCGGCGCGGTAGCGCGAGAGGACATCTTCGAGAAGGGATGCCCAGCGTTTGTGGTAGGCGTCACTGGGATTATAGAACATGTTACTGAGATCGAAAGCCGTGTAGGTCGTGTTGCGCAGGAAGCCGTCCATCTCCAGCTTTCCGCAGTCAATCAGGTCACGCTTCCCGATCTCGATGAACCGCCCGAACGAAGCGCAGCATTTCCAGCTCGCGTGCAGGAGATCGCCAACCAGGCTGTTCAGGACAATGTCAACGCCGCGGTTCTGTGTGGCCCGCATGATGCCCTCATAGAAGGAAGTGTCGCGCGAGCTGAAGATGTGGTCTTCGGATAGGCCGAGGGTTTCCACGAGGTAGTTCTTCTTGTCTTCACTGGAGACGGTAGCGAAGATCTGGACCAAGATTGATAATCAGCAGACTGTAATATAGAACCAAATTAGGGGAATGGGGACCGGGAACTTACCTCAGCCTGAGCTTCCTGAGCGATTTGAATTGCCGCAATACCCACGCCTCCGGCGGCGGAGTGAATCAGGACAGTCTCGCCCGGTTGAATCCGAGCTCGGTCGTGCAAAGCGTATATGGCAGTCGCGTATACTACTGGTAAGGTGCACATGAACTCAAAAGACTCATTCTCCTCCAGTTTCTGACAACTCCACTCCGGCACGACCTCCGAGGTGCGGAAATGATTAGGAGCCATTACGACGACACGATCGCCTACCGCAACGCGGGTCACCGCAGCCCCAACATTCTCAACAACACCGCAGAACTCCAAGGCGCAGGTGGCATCTTTGGTCTCTGTCTTGCCACCGAGCACGTAGAAATCTTTAGCATTTACTCCCACGGTCCGTAGCCCGACCTGAACACTGAAGCGGTCTTCCAACGTAGCCGGCAAGGGGCGCATCTGGTCGAAAAACAGGCTGTCAAAGTTGCCCGGCTCGAGTATCTGCAGCTTCGCCGGCCGAGCCTGCTGCAGGGTGGTTTGCACCATCTCGTGGCCCTGGCGCTGCCGGAATGTGACGTTCAGATGGTCGTCGGGCACAAATCGGCTGACGTGCACCAGTCCGTCGTTCTGAATATATTCGTAGTCTCTGGGGAATTCACGGGAGTGGAGCACAGATAGAATGTTCTTGGCTGTGACGGGGGTCTTTGTTGTGGGATTATCGACATCGAAAGTGTAGAACTTCAGCGAAGGATGTTCCATCATGACGGCCCGCGCCAGGCCAGAAACCAGGGCAAACTCAGGCTGAGCCCCGTTCAGCGAGTCCCCTGCCGTCACCCACAGAAGTGTCTCCGCATTGTCGGTCATTAGTTTGATCCCGCGCAGCTCGGAATCTGTACTGGTCGAGAGGACCGGGTTTTCAGACTCAATAAGGCTTATGATTGTTGCCCCTGTGGGGATCATCCCGTCAACGAGATCATCGAGGTAGACATGCTTGCAACTCTCCGGGCCGTAGGTTTTGTGTAGCTCCGCGACGATAGACTCTCCTAATGCGGTGCTTGTGCTGCGATCAATAACATACACTGGAGATTGCTGAACACCTGATGTCGCCGGATCGGCGACTGGCTTAGCGAGGAATACACGACCTCCCCCGTATTCAAGAATGCATTCGATGGCCTGGAAGCCATTCTCCGCGGCATGCAGCCGTGCAGTAGAAGGTGACAAGCACAACAAGGATCCGTCCTCTGCGAGCAGGTCCTTGATGATGGGGAGCTTAGTAGCAAGATAAATATCCGTCTGCTCTCTAGCGGGCAGAATGATCAAGTCATACTTCGAATTATCGATGGCCGCGTGATGCTCCAAGGGGCCATCTAGACGCTTTCCTAGATCCAGTTTAGTACCGTGAAGGACTCCGTCATCCTTGATCAACCCCGACGTGAATTCCAAAACTCGTGGGAAAGAATCTCCTCCGTGCAAGAGATCGAGAGTGGCGTTAGTGATAAGGTGATTCACATTGCCGAGTTCCAACACCCGCATGGACGGGTTCTTGTGGGACAACAGGTCTAGGGTGGCTCCCATTTTGAGGAGGCCTTCGTCCCGAACAGGTGATGTTGACTCATTGAAGAACTTGCTCAAATATTTCCGGAAATGATCTTCCGGCATCAAGCCCAGCCCATACACATCCGGCTTCCACAACACGCGCAGCATCGGATGACGCTGTTCGCCCGCGTCGGCGCCCTGTCCTGTCTGATACGGCGAGAGCTTGACATTGGCGATCCTGGCTGCGACTTGCCCGTCACTGGTGCTCAGTTCGGCATCGATCTCAGAGGTGCCGAAGCCTACCACGCGCGCGACAGAATCGATCGCCCAGGATTTGGTGGTCGCGTCTGACGGCTCAGGGGCGTGGATGTGGATGGAATCAAAGCTGACGGGTACCTTTGCCCGCAATTCGCGGACACGGCCTCCGGTCGTCGCCACGATGGCCGTCTGGAGCATGGCATCGATGGTGATTGGGTGGATGGGGTACTCAACGTCTAACCCTTCGGAGACATAGTCTTGCAGCAGGGGGACTTGAGTCTTGCAGACAAGATCGGTCCGCATGCGCGAGACATCAAACCGCTGGATTGATTGAAAGGCCGGTCCGAAGTTCAGCCCGACCTTGATGAGATTCTCGTACCACACTCTGGGTTGAGTGCTCTCTAGCATGGCAGGGTTGATCTGAACGTTCTGTACAAGAGACTCTGCCTCGGGGTTGATGCGGACTCGCCCCGTGGCTCGAGTCGTGGAATCGCCCTGGTCGTATGAGACAATGGAGAAGTCGTACCAGTATTTCGAGTTGCTGGCCGACGTGATCGGGGTTGGCCGGATGGTTGTGAACAGCTCGACTTCAGCGGTGGGTGAGTCTGTTAGGGCCAGGGCAGCCAGGATATTCACATTCTGCAGCTCGTAGTTGGCAGGGCTAGAGGTGGCAAACCCTGCAATCTGTCGCATTCCCTCCACTGCCATGGAGACATATCCGGCTCCAGGGAAGACAATTGTGTTCTGCAGCTTGTGGCTGTCTAGCCAGGGGATATCTGCGGCGCGGATGACATTGCGCCATTGTGCTTCCAGGCCATTTCCGCCGGGGATCTGGGATCCCAGAAGCTCGTGTCTGGGATACTTGCGGGTACGGAACTCGATGCTGGCCCGACATTCGTGCCACAGCGCGGCGTCATAAGTCCACGGGTATGGAGGTAGATCAGGCAAGACCGAGCAGTCCGACTGGAGGCCGTTGACTTTGCTCCAGCAGACGGATTCTCCGCGGAGGTACAACTGGCCGACCATTCTGAGGATGGTGGTGACTTCATTCTTGCCTCGCGACAGAGCGGAGGCATACGGGAAGTGATCATCGGACAAGGCAAGCTTCTTCTTGATCTGCTTGATGGGCATCTCCAGGGCCGAGTGAGGGCCCAGTTCAATGAAGTGATACTTGTCAATCTCTGTCATCTTCTCTACACCATCGCTGAAGAGAACGGGGCTCTCCAAGTTGGATCGCCAGTATGCCGCGTCCGGGGCGCTCTCGCTCAATTGGCCTGTGACGGTTGAAGCCCAGGTAACATTGC